CACAGTACGAAGTAGTGGTAACAAGGTCGTTCTACCTCGCTGGCAGCCACCCAAATCTTCGACGGTCCAGGTCAACGCCATCACGATGAAACGGGCTGTCGCTGCTGGAGCTGACGTGTACGCAGTGGATATCGCGCTAGTGAAAAAAGAGGAGCAGCCGAGTGATTTGGAGAAACTGCTGGCAACTGTACCGACCGAACTACAGGCACTACTGAAACAGTTCCCGGGGATATTTCCGGATGATTTACCACAAGGACTGCCACCTCAGCGGGCGCACGACCATAGGATCGAGTTAGAACCGGGGGCACAGCCAACTGTACAGCGGCAATTTCGACTGACACAGCCCGAGCTCGACGAGTTAAGGAAGCAGTTAGATTACCTGTTAGAGAAGCAGTTTATCCGTCCGAGCTCGTCACCGTTCACCGCACCGATACTGTTCACACCGAAAAAAGACGGAGGGTTCCGCATGTGCATCGACTACCGAGCGCTTAATAGGGTAACAGTCAAATCGCGATACCCCATCCCCCGCGCCGACGAACTGATCGACCAACTGCGAACAGCACGAGTCTTTTCGAAAATAGATTTACGGGGAGGTTACCATCAGATTCGGGTCGAACCATAGGACTGCGCCAAAACAGCATTTAGGACTAGGTACGGGTCATTCGAGTATACAGTAATGCCATTCGGGCTGGCGAACGCGCCTGCGACATTTCAGATGACCATGAACGAGGCGTTTAGACCACTTTTAGATAAATGCGTGATAGTTTACCTGGACGATATTCTAGTTTACAGTCGGGATAAGCAGCAGCACTTAGTGGATCTTGAAGCGGTTTTTAAGGTTTTGGAGGAACATCGGCTACTCACCAAGGGCTCCAAGTGCGAGTTTTTTCGGGACAGGCTAGAGTTTTTGGGTCACGTCATTTCGGAGGCTGGGGTTGAGATCGACCCAAAGAAGCTGGATACGGTAAAAGCGTGGCGCCCCCCGACGAACATCACGGAACTGCAGAGTTTTTTAGGTTTTGTTAATTACGTTTGACGGTTCGTGCCCGACATGGCACGTTTAACAGCCCCACTCACTGATTTACTGCGTAAGGGGGTCGCTTTTACGTGGGGGGAGAACGAGCATGCTGCCTTCTCTGCCCTGAAAACCGTTCTCTGTTCACCACCCGTTCTACGCATCGCCGATCCCCACCGCCCTTTCGAAGTGGTTACCGACGCAAGTGACATCGCCATCGGAGCTATACTGTTACAGGACTTCGGCGATGGCCTCCAACCCATCGCCTACGAATCACGCAAACTACATCCGCCTGAGCGAAATTACCCAATACACGACCGCGAAATGCTCGCGATCGTGCACGCATTCAAAGTGTGGCGCTGCTACTTGACCGGCGCAGACGTGACAGTACGGAGAGACCATCGATCTCTACAGTACCTCCGCGCACAGCCCCACCTCAACCCACGACAGATTCGATGGCTCGATTTCCTCGAGTCGAATTTTCACTATACGGTCACATACAAAAAAGGAGCCTCGAATATCGCCGACGCACTGATTCGCCCCACTGCCCAGATCCACGCGATACTACTCGCCAAGACCAGCCCGCTACTGACAGGCCTATTTACCCACGGATATCAAACAGACCCGTTCTTTACAGGAGGCAACTCACAGCAATTCGCAGCGGCAAAAGGAGTCTATTACGTAAAAGTTGGAACCAACCGCATCTGGGTACCAGGATACACGCTACTGCGGGAACTACTGTTACAGGAAGCACACGACGGAGTTACCTCGGGACATTTTGGGGTAGAAAAAACACGACAGCAGCTGCAGCGGTACTACTACTGGCCAGAATTGTTGACCGATGTGCAACGACACGTGGCATCGTGCCCCACTTGCCAGCTCATGAAGTCAAGCAGGAAGCGGCCGGCGGGACAATTACAACCCATCCCGCCCCCAGAGCGTGCTTGGCAGCAGGTGACGATGGATTTCGTCACGGGGTTACCAGCTGGGGCGAGTGGGAATGACGCGATCCTGGTCGTCGTCGATCGACTAACGAAGATGGCTCATTTCGCAGCATGCAGGAAATCAATCACAGCCGAGGAAACCGCCCGACTCTTCATCACCACCGTCGTTCGACTGCACGGGATACCCGCATCGATCATCAGCGACAGAGACACGAAATTTACAAGCAACTTCTGGCGGAACCTGTGGCAGCACTTCGGCACGCGCTTACAGTTCAGTTCATCCTATCACCCCGAAACCGACGGACAGACGGAACGGACAAATCAGACCATGGAGCAGCTGATTCGAGCCACGTGCGACGATCCGAATACGTGGGAACAGCAGCTGCCACTCATCGAGTTCGCATACAATAACGCACCATCAGCCACGACGCAACAGTCGCCGTTTTACTTGAATTACGGACAGGACCCAACGGTACCCATGACACCGAATCCCGACAACCCCGTCCCACGAGCACAACAGTTCGCCGAGATTCTGCAAGCAGCACGGACCAGGGCAGCAGACGTCATAAAAAAATCAAACATCATCGCTAAACGCAACGCCGATCACCATCGCAGACCCGTTACTTATCAGCCCGACGACCTCGTTTTACTCGACACTTAGAACCTCCGCCTGCCCATCACCCCAAAACTCCGCCGTCGATACTGTGGGCCATTTCGAATCATTCACATGGTTACGCCAGTCACCGCGCACCTCCTCCTCCCTGCTGACTGGTACGTCAGCCCCTCGTTCCACGTCAGCTTACTTCGCCCTTACGTGCCATCCACCAGCCAACTCCCACGACATCGACCCACCAGCATGACACGACCACCAACCGAACCAGTCATCACCCCCGACAAGATCCTGAGCCACAGAGTTCGCGACCCTCGAGGAGCCCGAAAAGTGGAGTTTCTGATCCGTTGGAAAGATCGTACCCCCACCGAGGACAATTGGGTTCCCCTGGAGAAAGTTGAAAATCACCCCGTCGTCACCGACTACCTGCGTAGCCGCAATTTCCGAGACATCCATGCGCTTTCCTAAGGAGGACCTCCTTAGGAGGGGGGGTAGTGTAAGGAAAATCCCTTTTCCTTACTTCGCGTCCCTGCTCAACGCGTACATCACTGTAGCACCTCAGTCAGCACCGTTACCACTCGCGACCATCGCATCATTCATCATCCCGCCCTTTTCGCACATCGCATCCCGAACTCACGGCTCGGCTGGTAACCCGCGCTCCGGGCCTACGCTTCGACACTTTCCCAACCTCAGTCCCAGGCTCGTTGCGCGACCATTACCGTTACCACTATAGTTTCGCTATATAATGTTCGCTCATGCCTTCGCTCATTTGTATTCTTGCTTCGATAGTGCAATTCTCGTTCGTTCACTCAATTGCACTCGTAACACATATATATATGTGATCTCGATTTAATGTCGTGCTAAACCTTGTGCCATCTATTGCGAATGCATACCGTATTATCTCCATGAAGCTGACATTTATATTTGTGTAGTTTTACAAACTTATAGCAGAACACGAACGAGTGCCAAAAGAACAGCTCCAGGAGCTCTATCAAAGTGGGCAGTGTCAATCTGGCATTTTGACACTCAGCCAACATTGTTGGCAGGGTGTCAAGAAATTGCATGTTGCCAGCCAATACATATCGTCAGACACTTTTGAAATTGGCACAGTCAAACCATTAAACGACAGAAGATTGTCGCAGGTGCCAATCTCACGACCAGATGTCGTCCAATCAGCACACAATATGTCTTTTGAATCGTTCGCTGCCTATCAGATCCACACCTGACAAATTTTCAAACCAATGAAATTGAGTCGTTGATATTCGTACCTGCGCTTTGAATTGACACTTCAGCTACAGTGTTTGACACTCTAATTCAAATGCGCTTCGGGTTGACCCGCACTCACTTGACATGTTAACCCTACGGACACGAACTCAGTTTGCCAGACCAACTTTCGTGTGACTCACCACAACCACGAGACACCCTTGGGAACTCCCGCTTTCCCTTGAGAGCATCTGATTGAAGCTCAGGACGTGTCGCATGTGAAGGGTCCGCTGGATCTGGTCCGCGACCAGGATCTATACGCCTGGTCCGGGGTTCTGGTCCGACGGACCCACTTGGCGGACCAGCGTTGGACCAGACACGGACTGGTCTGCCTGATGCGTCGCGCTTCGGGCTGCGCAGTATTTGCGAGATGCAGCAGTAGGGACGAATTAGACATTGAGTTACCCATTTTCTTCGTCTGCACAAAAATCTTACGCGAAATTTACAAAACAAGAAATTTCGCCAAAACAAATGTTTCCCCACCCACTGTTTACGGACCAGGCGCGGGCTGGTCTGGAGGGCCAAATAAATGGCACCGTTTTAGTGCCATTCGAACCGTATAACGGGGTTACAGGCCCCATATCCTGGTCCCGGTCCGCCCTGGTTCACGCACTGGTTCCTGAGCTGGTCCGTCAGGTCCGAGCCGGACCCACGTGGACTCAGACATCTGAGACACCCTCTCAGCCACACCGACCGCATCCCAATAGCTGGCCCGATCAGCTGGACTTCTTACTTGGCTTTGCTTCGCCAACACCGATTGCCTGGTCGCTGCCAGCTCTACCCGTGATTTTGTCCGGGTTTTGGCAGTTTACGCCGTCGCAGTTGAACTGTCGATAGCTACCAATGGCTGATCCTGCTGTTGATCCGGCGACTGCGCCTCCTGCTGACACAGAACAAGCCACAGCTGATGGGGGGGAGAAGATCAGCAAGAGGTATTGTTAAAAAAAAAAAACGAAGGAGAGTGCCTTTTTTTGAATGGTTCGCGGGAAAGACATTTTAAAAACCCTGTCCCTCCAGTCAAGATGGTATCGTTTCTTTCGTAGGCCAGCAATACGGCGTCCTGTTGTCACGCGCGTCGGAATTGTCGGTTATTTCCGCCAGAATCTGCACATTGCTGCTTCTTACTGTCATTTGCGCCGTTTAGGGATGCACTGCAGTCACTCATCGAATGTTCTTCTATCGCGTTCATTTCGAAAACGCTTTGCTTTTGTCACGTTGCAGTGAGCTGAAGCGTCGACTCAAGGCGGAGCAGAAGGCCAAGGAGAAGGAGGAGAAGGAGCGTCTCAAGGTACGGCTGTCTCGTGGGTGTCATGATTTTCTGCCTGGCTGGTTGTTAGTACAGACACTTCTTACCGACGTCAATGTACGTTTGTTGCCATGGAAGGAACGGCAATAAGTACGGCTATCTCGTGGGTCTCATGATGCGTGCCTGGCTGGTTGTCAGTATAGATGCTTGTAACGGATGTCAATTTAAGTGCTTGTCATGTGGGTGTAAGTACAGACGCTTGTCATGGATGCTAATTTCATGTCATGGATGCTAATTTTATTGTCATGGATGCCAATATCATTGTCATGGATGCCAATATCATTGTCATGGATTTCAGTAGAGAGGCTTATCATGGATGCCATGACAGATATTTGTCATGTCATGGGTATTGCCTGGAAAGAATGGCTTTTGGTTATGTGTCCTCGTACCTTTGCATGGTGATTCGGTGTCCTCATATTTGAGTGCTCCACCCCCTCACTGTTGAGAAATATAGCTGGTTCTCACAGTGAATCTGGCATTCGTATGACATTCACGTTCACTTTGACTAACAGTGAATCTATGTTGACATTCACATTCACACTGACATCGACTGACACTAAAATTGCTGTTGTAATTGACACTGACATTCACAATCACGTTCAAGTTGACGCGATGTAAATCTATTATGTTTCCAACTCGGCCCTGACATTCGCGTTGGTTTTTGCTTTGACATTGGCAGGCAGAGAAGGCGGCTGCTCAAGGCACAGGCGGGGACAAAGCAAAGACGAAGGCCGCAGAAGAGGACGAAGAGGAGGACCCGAATGTGAGTCAGACGAGGAGATCCCTAGAGCTCTTGATGATGATTTCTCACGCCGACAGAGAGACCCAGGCAGCACAGGGCAATCTATACTCTTCACACCTCTCCCGTGGAGGCAGTGCCTTACCACCAACCCCCACCTTTTACCCTTCTCTACACCATCTCTTTTCAAACTGAGGCCACGAGAACCGCAACATTGCACATATTTTGATACTTCTCATGCCTCCGCTTCCTCCCTTTACTATCACTCCCACAGAAGTACCATGAGAACCGTCTGGCATACGTCACAGAGATTCAGGCCGCGGGAGGCAACCCCTACCCGCACAAGTTCCACGTGTCCACGCGCCTGCCAGAGTACTTAGCTAAGTACTCCAATCTGGAGAGCGGACAGCAGTTGGCGGACGAGCAGGTTTCCCTCGCCGGCCGTGTCATGCGCCGGGCGGCGTCGGGCGGCCGGCTTGTCTTTTATGACCTTCATGCGGACGGCTGCAAAGTGCAAGTCATGGCCGATGCCAGGTGAGGTTTCAGGTGGTTTCAGTAGAAGGGCTGGTACATCAGGTGAATCCTTTCGTCCCTGTGTGTGCATCTACTTGTCCCTCAGCTTTCTCTCCGTCTGTCTCTGTCTGTCTCTTCTCTCTGTGCCCGTCCTCTCTTATCCCTCTTGTGACTTGTGAATGCAGGAACTGGGAGGCAGGAGAGGAGGAGTTCACTCGCCTGCACGGGACAGTGAAGCGGGGAGACATCGTGGGCATCTTAGGCTTCTTCGGGAAGAGCAAGCGTGGCAAGCTCAGTGTGTTGGGTCTTTCATCTCCCTGTGCTGCCCATCCCACCCCCTTGTGTGGCAGGAACTGGTTGGCAGGGGAGGAGGAGTTCACTCGCCTGGGCATCTCAGACTTTCTTGGGAAGAGCAATTGCTTTGAACTCAAGCTCAGTGTGTTTCTTCTCCCTGTGCTACCCATCCCACCCCCTTGTGTGGCAGGAACTGGGAGGCAGGGGAGGAGGAGTTTACTCGCTTGCACGGCACAGTGAAGCGCGGTGACATCGTGGGCATCTCAGGCTTCCCGGGGAAGAGCAAGCGTGACAAGCTCAGTGTGTTGGGTCTTTCTTCTCCCTGTGCTGCCCATCCCACCCCCTTGTGTGGCAGGAACTGGGAGGCAGGGGAGGAGGAGTTCACTCGCCTGCACGGGATGGTCAAGCGCGGTGACATCGTGGGCATCTCAGGTTTCCCCGGGAAGAGCAAGCGCGGCGAGCTGAGTGTGTTTCCCCGCAGCATGCTCGTGCTGGCGCCGTGTCTGCACATGATGCCCAAGGAGAAGAAGAAGGCTCCAGGCGCTGCTGCTGCTGGTGCTGCTGCCCCTGCGGCTGCAGCTCAGGCTGATGTAAGTGAAGGAAAAGAGGGCCCTTTGTACCGTGAAAGGTGACGTGCTGGTGCCCTGGAGAAGAAGGCCCCTGGTGCGGCGGCTGCTGCTGCCGCTGCTGCTGCTGCCCCTGCGGCTGCCGCTCAGGCTGATGTAAGTGAAGGAAAAGAGGGCCCTTTGTACCCTGAAAGGTGACGTGCTGGTGCTCTGGAGAAGAAGAAGGCCCCTGGTGCGGCGGCTGCTGCTGCCACTGCTGCTGCTGCCCCTGCGGCTGCCGCTCAGGCTGATGTAAGTGAAGGAAAAGAGGGCCCTTTGTACCCTGAAAGGTGACGTGCTGGTGCCCTGGAGAAGAAGAAGGCCCCTGGTGCGGCGGCTGCTGCTGCCGCTGCTGCTGCTACCCCTGCGGCTGCCGCTCAGGCTGATGTAAGTGAAGGAAAAGAGGGCCCTTCGTACCTTGAAACATCTCGTGCTGGCGCCCTGTCTGCACATGATACCATACATCCCCTATCCACCCTCTTCCTCTTCCTCCCAACTGCATTCCTCAGGGCCCTACTGCAGCCGTATGGGCGCCTAATCTGCCGCGCAACCCCGAGCACTACATTCTCAAGGATCAGGAGACACGCTACCAGGCGCAGTGCTGCTGGCAGTACAAGGTTTCGCCTTTTCACCCCAACCCTTATCCCCCTCTATTTCCACTCCCCCCAGGGGCCCACCCCCACTGCTGCCGTATGGGCGCCTGGTCTGCCCCGCAACCCCGAGCACTACATTCTCAAGGACCAGGAGACGCGCTACCGGGCTCGGTACCTGGACCTGCTGGTGAACCCGGACATCCGCCACGTGTTCCAGACGCGCGCTAAGGTCGTCTCGTACCTCCGCAAGTTCTTCGACGGGAGGGACTTTTTGGAGGTGAGGCATGGTATCCGGACTTGCTGGTGAACTTATGGGTCGGCTCCGTAGGTGGGGCGAGGTACCTGGACCTGCTGGTGAACCCAGACATCCGCCACGTGTTTCAGACGCGCGCCAAGGTCGTCTCGTACCTCCGCAAGTTCTTCGACGGGAGGGACATTTTGGAGGTGAGGCATGGTACCCGGACCTGCTGGTGAACCCGGACATCCGCCACGTGTTCCAGACGCGTGCCAAGGTCGTCTCGTACCTGCGCAAGTTCTTCGACGGGCGAGACTTCCTCGAGGTGAGATGGGGAGACAGGACAGGAAACAGGAAATGGGAGGTGGGAGCTTGGGCATAGACGGGAGAGGGGAGACGGAAGGGGGGAGGCAGGAGGGGGGAGGAGATGGGAGACGGGGAATAGGAGTTTGTGGCAGGGTTAGGGCGCATTTCTGACCTTGTGTCATCCGGTGTTGGTGTCATCCGAAAACTTTGGAACTCACGCGATTGGCCCAAAAATCACAACGGGCCAATCACGTGCGTTCCAATTTTTTCGGATGACACCAACACTGGATGACATGAGGTCAGAAATGCGCCCTTAGGATGGTTGTAGCATGAGAGGTGAGAAGGTTAGGTTCTATAGGCGGGATGCCTGGAAAGGTTCTCCTTTCCACTCCCGCCTCCCCGCTCCTCCACCCTCCTCTTTCCCCCCTCCTCTCCCCTTCTTCTCCCCCCCCTCCTCCTTACACCCACAGGTGGAGACCCCGATGATGCACATGGTGGCAGGAGGGGCAGCAGCTCGGCCATTCAAGACTGAGCACAACGATCTCAACATGACGCTCTTCATGCGCATCGCCCCCGAGCTCTTCCTCAAGGAGCTCAGCGTTGCCTTGGGGGGCGGGCGGGCGGGCTTTGATATATTGAGGCGCCTCAGAATCAGCTTCAGCTGCCGTTTCTCCTCCCTCCCCCCTCCTCCCTCCTCCTTCCTTTTCCCCCCTCTGCCCCCAGGTGGAGACCCCGATGATGCACATGGTGGCAGGAGGAGCGGCAGCGCGGCCATTCAAGACAGAGCACAACGATCTCAACATGACGCTCTTCATGCGCATCGCCCCCGAGCTCTTCCTCAAGGAGCTCGTGGTGGGCGGGCTGGACCGCGTGTACGAGATCGGCAAGCAGTTCCGCAACGAGGGCATCGACCTCACCCATAATCCCGAGTTCACGACAATTGAGTTTTACGCTGCGTATCTGGACTACAATGATCTGATGGTCCTGACGGAGGAGCTGCTCTCAGGTGAGCTTGGTTCCTACCTGCCAACCTACCTTCCTATCCACAGGTGCCTTTGAGCCCCTAAGCCTCTGAGCTTCCTTGAGGCTCTCTCTTTTCCTCAAGGAGGGAGCTCGTGGTGGGCGGGCTGGACCGCGTGTTCGAGATCGGCAAGCAGTTCCGCAACGAGGGCATCGACCTCACCCACAACCCCGAGTTCACAACGATTGAGTTTTACGCGGCCTATCTGGACTAAAACGATCTCATGGTGCTCACTGGAGAGCTGCTCTCAGGTGGGTTTACAGGTGGTGTTTTCACTTGGTGGTTCAGGGCTTGTGGTTCTTACCTACCTACATACAAGCGCCTTTGAGAGCCTTTGAGCCTTGAAGCTCGCTCTTCCTCGAGGAGGGAGCTGGTGGTGGGCGGGCGGGCTGGACCGCGTTTACGAGATCGGCAAGCAGTTCCGCAACAAGGGCATCGACCTCACACACAATCCGGAATTCACCACCATTGAGTTTTACGCTGCTTATTTGGACTACAATGATCTCATGGTGCTCACAGAGGAGCTGCTCTCAGGTGAGTTTTCAGGTGGTGGTTCAGGGCTTGTGTTCTCACTGACCTACCTCTCTACAGCTGTGAAAGAGATTGGTTAGAAGCTGTGATCCCACAGCATTGTCCCTTCGCTTCCTCCTTGCACTTTCCTTCTGCTCCCCGTCTCTACCGCAGGCACGGTGAAGGAGATCCGGGAGGGGGGGGGGGAAGGAGGGGGAGGGTCCTTTTGAGACGTCTCAAAAAACACAGCATTGTCCCTTCGCTTCCTCCTTGCACTTTCCTTCTGCTCCCCGTCTCTACCGCAGGAAGGAGATCCGGGAGGGAGGGGGGGGGGGATACAAGCTGTGATACCACGGCAGCAAACAATTTCGGTCCCATCTTTCCTTCCCCACGGCTTCTCCCCCTTATCCCCCTCTCTATCACATGCATGGTGAAGGAGATTACGGGGGGCTACAAGCTGTGGTACCACACCAACAAGAATGGTCCCCTCTCCCCTCACCCCAGTCCGCCTTTCATCCTGTTCTTTCCCCTCTCTATCGCAGGCATGGTGAAGGAGATCACAGGCGGCTACAAGCTGTGGTACCACAGCAACGGGCTGGACAAGGAGCCTGTAGAGATCGACTTTACCCCGCCCTTCAAGTAAGCCTCTGAAGCTTTTCTTGATAACGCTCAGTGCTGTTGTTGATGCATAACAGCTCTGTCTCTTGACAAGCTGTGGTACCACAGCAACGGGCTGAAAATGGAGCCTGTGGAGATCGAATTTTCTCTGCCCAAGTATGCTCCTCTTGCTGACTGTCAATAATGTATAGCAGCTCTATCAGTCCACGTGGGAGGATTCGTGCTTTGAGTCGACTCAAAACACGGCTCATTTCACGTGTATAGCAGCTCTACTAGTCCAGGAGGAAGGACTCTCGTCCGCCCCAAAACGGCAATATTGGTCTGTCCTGTGCATCCTTTTGAGGTGCCTCAAAAGTATTGGTCTTGTCCTGTGCATCCGTGCTTACTGCCCCAACCAACCCCCTGTTCCCGCAATCATGATGTCGTCAGTCGAGTTTTGAGTCGACTCAAAACGGCAATATTGGTCTTGTCCTGTGCATCCGTGCATGCTGCCCTGGCCAACCCCTGTTCCCGCAATCATGATGTCAGTCACATGCATACTCTATCCTTCCGCCTTGTCCACCCCCAGGCGCATCCCCATGATCCAGGGCCTGAGGGACATCGGAGGGCTGACAGACCTGCCGACGAACCTGGAGGCAGAGGAGGCGAGGCAGTACCTGGAGGTGCATACATACCTCCCACGCACACCATGCATACCTCCTCCCTCTCCACGTCCACCCCCAGGCGCATTCCCATAATCCAGGGCCTGAGGGACATCGGAGGGCTGACAGACCTGCCGACGAACCTGGAGGCAGAGGAGGCGAGGCAGTACCTGGAGGTGCATACATACCTCCCACGCACACCATGCATACCTCCTCCCTCTCCACGTCCACCCCCAGGCGCATTCCCATGATCCAGGGCCTGAGGGACATCGGAGGGCTGACAGACCTGCCAACGAACCTGGAGACAGAGGAGGCGAGGCAGTACCTGGAGGCCATGTGCGAGAAGCACCACGTGCAGTGCCCTCCCCCGCTCACCACCGCGCGCTTGCTCGACAAGGTGAGAGCGCAGAAGTGTATAGTGTGACATCCACGTGCAATCGTTTTGTTGGGAGCCTAAAAGAAATCAGTGAGCACAGAAGTGTACTGTGTGTATCACATCTGTCCGTGTTCAAGTGTTTGAAGAGACCGTTGGAATTTGGAGACAGAGGAGGCGAGGCAGTACCTGGAGGCCATGTGCGAGAAGCACCATGTGCAGTGCCCCCCGCCGCTCACCACTGCGCGCCTGCTCGACAAGGTGTGTGTGTGTAGGGATTTGTCTTTTCAACCTGTTCAAAGTAACAGCAGCTGCAGCTACGGCAGTATTTAGTGACTCGGTGTGACTAGCGAGCTGTATTCTGAGCCTGACTTTTGAGACGCATCTCTCAAAACTAGCGAGCTGTATTCTGAGCCTGTTCAAAAGGGGGTTGCTGAATGACGCATCTCTCAAGCGTCTCAAATTCACAGCTGTTCATATTCTCTTGTTCCTTCTGCCCCTGCCTCTCCCTCCTGCGGCTGGTGGGGCGTTTCATCGAGCCCAAGTGCGTCAGCTCCACGTTCGCCATCGACCATCCTTCAGTCGACCATCTTTTGATGATGTGCACCTCTTTCCTTGCCTCCTACGCCTTTTGAGGCGCCTCAAAAGACCATCTTTTGATGATGTGCACCTCTTTCCTTGCCTCCTACGCCTTTTGAGGCGCCTCAAAAGACCATCTTTTGATGATGTGCACCTCTTTCCTCGCCTCCTACGCCCTTTGAGGCGCCTCAATTGACCATCTTTTGATGATGTGCACCTCTTTCCTTGCCTCCTACGCCCCCCAACCCCTCCAGCTGGTGGGGCATTTCATTGAGCCCGAGTGTGTCAACCCCACGTTCAATGCCAACTATCCTTCCAAGCCAACCCCGTCCGTGTCTGTTTCCACACCTCCACTTCCTCTCCTGCCTCTATCTCTCCACCCCTCTCCCTCCTGCAGCTGGTGCCTAACCCAGCTGGGGCATTTCATCGAACCTAACCCAAGTGCCTCAACCCCACGTTCATCATCGACCATCTTCCAACTAACCATTTTGTTTATGATGCCCTCTGTTCTCCCTCTGCTGCTCATTAACATACTGCCTCCCCCCCCTGTTCCAGCTGGTGGGCCATTTCATCGAGCCCAAGTGCCTGCCTGAGCCCAACATTCATCATCGACCATATTCCAACCAACCTCCCCTCGCTTCCTTCCCATATTCCTTGTATATCTTGCTCCTACTTATCCACACTGACCTATTAACCCTGCAGCTGGTGGGGCATTTCATCGAGCCGAAGTGCCGCAGCCCCACGTTCATCATCAACCATCCGCAGATCATGTCTCCCCTCGCCAAGTGGCACCGCACGGACGTCAACCTCTCAGAGCGCTTCGAGCTCTTTGTCAACTGCCACGAGGTGGGTGGTGGTGTAGAGGTTATTACTGTGTGAGTTTGCTTGTCTGCCCTGCCCTCTCTGCTCTTGGCTGTCTCATGTCTCCCCTCGCCAAGTGGCACCGCACTGACGTCAACCTCTCAGAGCGCTTCGAGCTCTTTGTCAACTGCCGTTAGGTAACTTGGCGGTGTAGATTATTTCTGTGTCGGGTTGTGTACCCTGGGCTGTCTGGTCCTCCCTCTCACTAAGTGGCACCGCCCTAACGTCAACCTCTCCGAACGCTTTGAGCTCTTCGTCAACTGCCATGAGGTGGATGCAGATGGTGGGGTTGTGTGGGAGGGTGGTTGGGTTATCACTGTGTCAGTTTGTGTGCCCTGGTCTGTCTGATCTTGCCTCTCGCCAAGTAGGTGGCACTGCACTGACGTCTATCTCTCTCCAAGCGCGTTGAGCTCTTTGTCAATTGCTATGAGGTCAGTGAGGGTGGTGGGGTGGGGTGGTGTGGGTGGGTGGGTCACAATGTCGGGCTGTCTGCCCTGCCCTCTCTGTCCTGGGTTGTGTGGTCTTAGTGCTTGCCAAGTGGCGCCGCACTGACGCCAACCACTCCGAGTTGTCTGCCCTGTCCTGGGCTCCAATCGTTTCTTCAACTGTTATGATGCGGATTGATATGGTGGGTGGAACGCTGTTTTGGACCCTCTGCGCTGGCTTACTGCGCTGGGAGTCACTTTTGGGAATCCTCAAAAGGTTACTGCGCTGGGTTGTTGTGCTGGCTTGTGTTAACTTCCTTGTGTTGATGCCTTCTGCCCCTCACCTCACCTGCCTGCCTTGCAGGTGTGCAATGCGTACACGGAGCTGAACGACCCAATCAGGCAGCGCCAGCTATTCGCCAATCAGGGCAAGGACCGGGCGGCTGGCGATGATGAGGCCATGAAGGTGCGAGTGGGGCAGAGGCGGAAGAGGGTGGGGTGGTGGAAGGGGAAGGGTAGTGGGGGGGCAGAGCGGCAGAGGGGCAGAAGAGGAAGGGTAGTGGGGGGGCAGAGGGGAAGAGGGGCAGAAGGGGAAGGGTAGTGGGGGGGCAGAGGGGAAGAGGGGCAGAAGGGGAAGGGTAGTGGGGGGACAGAGCGGCAGAGGGGAAGAAGGGGAAGGGTAGTGGGGGGGCAGAGGGGCAGAAGGGGAAGGGTAGTGGGGGGGCAGAGGGGCAGAAGGGGAAGGGTAGTGGGGGGCAGAGGGGCAGAAGGGGAAGGGTAGTGGGGGGGCAGAGGGGCAGAAGGGGAAGGGTAGTGGGGGGCAGAGGGGCAGAAGGGGAAGGGTAGTGGGGGGGCAGAGGGGCAGAAGGGGAAGGGTAGTGGGGGGGCAGAGGGGCAGAAGGGGAAGGGTAGTGGGGGGCAGAGGGGCAGAAGGGGAAGGGTAGTGGGGGGGCAGAGGGGCAGAAGGGGAAGGGTAGTGGGGGGGCAGAGGGGCAGAAGGGGAAGGGTAGTGGGGGGGCAGAGGGGCAGAAGGGGAAGGGTAGTGGGGGGGCAGAGGGGCAGAAGGGCAGAAGGGGAAGGGTGGGAAGGGATGTGAGGAGGGCACGATAGGTGGCTGGTGATGATGAGGCCACGAAGGTGTGAATGGTGGAAGGGTCGGGAGTGAGGTGCTCAGGGGGGGGAAGGGGTAGAGGGGGGATGGGCAAAGGAGGAAGGGTGGGGGAGGGGGGTGGGGCGCGGAAGTGTGAGGCGAAGACACGGCTGGTGATGATGAGGCCGTGAAGGTGCGAGTGGGGGCGGCCATAGGGGAGGGGTATAGGGAGAAGGGTATGAGGGGGAGAGAAAGGAAACACAGGAGAAAAGTATTATTGCTGTTGCTGTCAAGCGACACTCACGTGCCCTCTTGTTAACCCCTAAGCCTCCCTCCCACGCTTGCCACTTCCCCTTGTCCTTACCTCCACTCGTTACGCCCCTCTCCTCCTTCAACCTCCTCCACTCGAGCAGAAGGACGATGACTTCTGCACGGCACTCGAGTACGGCCTGCCGCCCACGGGAGGGTGGGGCATGGGTGTGGACCGACTGACCATGATTCTCACCGACTCTATCAACATCAAGGTGAGACACACATGGGGGGGTACAAGTGGTGGTTAGTATGGGAGGTTAAGGCACAGGAGGATGGGGCACAGGAGAGTGGGGCATGGGAGTGGACCGACTGACCATGATTCTCACCGACTCCATTAATATCAAGGTGAGATGTATGTGTGGGGTCGCACAGGATATGGTGCAAAGGCCATGGGTGCAGTACGTGTGTATGGAGTGGTTAGTATGGTGCGGCCATGGGAGTATGGGTCCGGGGAGGGTGGAGCATGTGTGTGCGTGGAGCAGCTGACCATGATTCTCACCGACTCTATCAACATCAAGGTGAGACATGGGCTTGATGCACAGGACATGGTGCACCAAACATGGTGCACAAGACATGGTGCACAGGGCATCGGTGTGCGTACGAGATGGTGGTGAGAATGTTGACCTGAAGGGTGGTTGGGTTATGGATGCTCTGGTTGACTGCTTACCACGGATGAGCGATGGGAAGTTGGAAATCGACATATATACGCAGTTGGAGTGCGCTGGCGCTCATTGGTTCTCCTTTCCTGGTTTGTGTTGTTTTTTATGTTCTGGCTCCACAGGAAGTGCTTCTGTTCCCGGCTATGAAGCCCAAGGCTGACCAACTCCCACCTGCCGCTGCTGCTGCTCCGGGTGCTGCACCTTCAGATGCAAATGCTTAATACTTAAGCTATCATTTTCCATTTAATAGTATTAGAAGACAAGGGTTTGTCAAATCCAGGTTTTAACCATGCCGTTTCAGGGTTGTGTAATGGAAAGAAACAGGCTTGCACTTCATGATAAATGATGATTGCCTAACAGTGCCTGTTAACGAAGTGGCCAATGAGAATAATGCGACTTCGGGTGACAAAGCTGCGTGGTTAGGGAGCTTCACTTTTCACGCAAACCAGCGTCCATCGTCGTGATTGGTTGCATCTCTTTCCTGGCCCACTGGTCAGCTTCGTTTTCCACGTCACCCTGTCTGGCTCTTGCAGAAAGTGCTCGCCCCTGACAGTCGCACCGCCACACCATCACTGTCCCAGACCAGAGCGACCCCACCCCTACAGTTTGCATGTCCGCCCCACTGTCCAGTGCGGATTGGATTTTACATTCTGCGCCTCACCATCCAGCTTCAAGGTGACGCGTCAAATAGGTGTCAGAGCTGAGCTGTTCTCAGGAGAAATCCATTGGGGTTTTGAGTTGAGCACGCACTGTTACTGAACTTTCTTCGCTCCCAGTGCAGCTACAGTGCTTCTGGCGCATTGTTTAGTGCTCTGTTTTCGCTCACAACGCAGAGCTAGCTCCTTTCAACACACTTTTGATTTCATTGGTCCCCACATGGCACATAACTACAAACCGAACCTGTGGATACTGTCACAAAAAACAGTAACTACTTTGATTTGATTTTAGTGCTAAACTTTTTATCTGCCCCCTTAAAAAAGGTATCGACCATAAACACCTTCCGAATGGTGTTTAGGATTGATGCTTAATCGAGACCAGCCATCGAAAAAAATATACTCGTTTGGAAGGGCATCAATCCTAAACACCTTGTCTCCTGGTGTTTAGGGTTGATGTCTCCCTCGAAAAACATGCCACCCGACAGGGTTTTATGTTTTTGTGCCCGAAATGCTTTCGTTTGACGGTTCTGTGGCCGCCAACCAAAGCAGAGTTATCGGCCCGTCAATTCTACGACCAATAAAAGCAAAAATGCGTTGAAAGGAGCTAATTCTGCGTTGTGAGCGAAAACTGGGAAGTAAAAGTGCGCCAGAAGCCTTGTAGATACGTGGGGAGAAAATATGATCAGTAACAGTGCGTGCACAACTCAAAACCCATTCCATTGCTCCCAGACGCTTTTTATGGTGATTTTTGGGTCCTGCTGGAAGGGAATATAGCCCAGAAATATATGGGCAGGATGAGGCAGCCGCTGTTCGTCAGAACGCCGCCTCCACTACAGAGGGTGGAATAAGATTAACACTACATCACTTGCCAAGCTTTTTAGCATGTGTTTTCTGTGTTCCTCCATTTCGTTTCTTCATCCTCCAGTCGAACTACCCTCCCTATGTCACACTTGTGTATTTTCTACTCTTTCGGGGAAAAGGTTTCCTTTTCCTAAGCTTCCCCCTCCCCACCTCAAGCCAGACTACCCAACCACACCACCTTGCATCCCCTTTTCGACTCATTTTTCCAAACGAACCGTTTCAAATGGCTCTCTTGTTGCACAGTGTGTCTGCCTTGCAGGCTGTGGGGAATGCTGGTTGTTCCCTCAGCTGTTCAATGCATGGTGCTATGAATTCTAGGACCTCGCCTCCTTGACCACGTGCCTAATCAGAACTGCGGAATCTCCTGATTGCCTTGCCTCTGTTCCTCACTTCACTCAAGTCGTGGAAAAATGTCGCGTTCTCGCATAGACTCAATGTTGTTGAGCTCACGTTCAGCGCAACTAACGCTGTTCAACGGCTAGCAATCTGCGACTTTCGCACCCGTCCAGTTGTCAGGAACTCACTGGTTCTAGTAAAATATATCTTCGTCTGGTGGTCAAACGCACAAGTACACGTAGCGCTTTCAAGACACCACAGTACTATCCCCTACGGATAGCGCTTTTCAGACACAAGCACATCCCATTCCATCCTTGTTCGTCCCCTTCAACAGCTGCTCTTTCTCACACGATCCTTCTCTCTCAGCAGTCTCAGACATCGCCGTGCAATTGAGAAACGATTCAGGAATAAGGGCGTGCGTAGTAACTAGAATTTCACGAGGACGGGATCTTCCATTTGGCGAGTTATTCGCGCGCTGACACGCGACTCGGGTCCGCGGAGAAATCAAGGCTATCAAGTATTCTCAATAGTCGTGCTCTCAAGTCCTGAAAATGCTTCTGTTGAGTAAATTTTCAGGGTCCAAGTCCAGGAGGCACGCTAGCGAGCGGAATGCGCGGACCGAGCGGAACGAGCGGAACGAAGAGAAAGAATGCGGCTCGGAGCTACCACCTGCACGTCAGCCCGCGGCGCGCGTCGTTGTCTTCGAGAGATGCGGCTCTCAAGAAGCATTGATGGCTGGTAGAGACGCGGAGAAACCGCGGGAGTTAGTGACTTCTGAACCTGCTGCGGACGGAGATTGCGGGGCTTGCGGAGGTTGCGGAGGCGGCGGAGGTTGTGGGGGTTGCGGGGTTCACGCAAAACCCTCTGACTACGATATTTCAAAGCTTGCGCCGGCGGGTTTCGCGCATCGCCTTTCGTTCTCGATGGACGAGGCAGCTCTGAGCGACGTCGCTCGGCGAGCGCGCGAATCGACTCGCGAATCGTCGTCGCGTCGTTTGCCGGACGCTTCGGCTCACCGCTCATCCTTTTCCTTCAACCCTCCCCCGCTGGTGGCCGGGGAGGAGGGAGATCCTGGAAGCAAAAACTGCGAGGCGGATTCAGCGGCGGGCGAGATCGGTCAAGACGATTCGGTGACAGCGCAGAAGCAGGAGAAGCAGGAAGAGGCGGAGAGGTGCCGGTGTGAGAAATGGATGGCCTTTCAGCAGTCAATCGCGGCAGCAGAGGAAGCTGACGTCAGTGACGACGCCGCCGAGTCCGATACCACTAGTACTAGTTTTAAGGCGCCCCATAACTCAGCAGCTGACGTCAGTGGCGCCGACGCCGCTAAGCTCGCAACTGTTAGCGGTAACGCCGCTACCGGTACAATCGGCGATAGCAGCGACTCCGGCGCTGCCGACTCCTTTGGCGACTGCTCCGCTGCGACTTGTTTTGGCAGGTTACAAGCTCCAGGTCCTCGCGCCGTCGCAGCGGGGGAGGCGGAGGCGCCGTCAGTTGCGCTGTCAGTTGCGCCGTCAGGTGCAGCAGCATCAGAGACGCTGTTTTCCCGGCGAATGAAATCCCAATCGCACCCAGCGCCGCGGGTAGTACCTGTATTAGGCGATACTACAACGGGGACGCGCAACTTCCCCTTCCCCCTGGCCCGGGGCCTAGAAAGCGCAGGCGCGATGCGGAGTTCCCCTCTGCGCAATTTCCCCGTTCCGCGCAGCTCGTCGCACACTGACAGGTTTCCGCCACCGCGAGCGGCGGTCACGGCGGCGTTTCCACCAGAGCCATGGTTTACCTGTGGCAGCAGTACCTACCAATACACACAGCCTCGCGTTACTAGTGGGCCGCTTCAGTCATGTACTAGTGAGTCGCCTCGCGTTAGTGAGCCGTTTCGAAGCGCGGCTATTGAGTCGCCCCGCGTTACAGTCATGTCCATGGTGACAGAGATCGCGTACGAACCGCTCCCCGAAGGCCTCTTCACTCCGCTCTCCCCGTTATCCGCCAGTTCCGCGGCTTCCGCCGCTCCTGCGCTGTTTTCCCCAGACGGCCTCTCCGCGCGGTTTTTCGACTCCCCCGGCGCGTCTTCGTCTGCCTCCGTCTCCTCCGCGTCCGTTCTTTCCCCCGGCGCTTCGCCATCTTCTTCCCCCGCCGCGCACACATTTTCGTCGCGACACAGGCGGCAGTCGTCCGCGTCGCACGCGACGACACCTCCGCTAATTACGTCGCTGCAAGGCGACGTGCCGCGCTCGCCGCCGGCTCCGTTCCGCCGGCGATCTCACTCGTTCGCGTCGCTCAACACCTTTCAGCTGCAGCGGAAAATTCACGCGTCCCCGTCCCCGCCCATGTCCCCATCTCTCGCGCCGTGTTTCGTGCGCGCGGAAGGGACAGAAACAGGCGGGCAGGGGGCTACGAAAGTGCGCCCGGAGTCAGGCGGTGCATCAGGCGCAGCGACGGCAGCGTCGACTCTAGCAGAAGCCAGGGCGGCTCGTCTGTCCACGTCAGCAGCAGCAGCTACTGCCGCCAACCCAGGAAGAACTAAGATTTTCGCATCGGTGCCACTCAATAAGCCTCCATATCTTTCATCACCCGCGAGTACTGGATATGCGAACTGTGCGATAACCGCCTCCACTTCGCTTCATTCGCACGCCGTCACTGAAGCCGGCGTGCCAGAGTTCCCTCGCTGGGGATCTACAGTGAATCGTTCTACAGTACACGGAGCTACTGTCGAAACGTCTACACGTCAAGGGGCTACAATAAAGTATTTTACCGTCAACGAGGCTGCAGTACCATATGCCCCCAACAGAAATCCCACCGCCTCAAACTGCGCAGTTTTCCCTGCTTCTCCAAAGTCCCCACAAGGGTTAGTTGGAGCAACTAGGGGCAGCCCGGGATGGGGAGTGGAGCGAACCGGTGGGTATATCACGGGAGGCGCAGGGGAGGCGAATAGGGGGGGAGCGGCACAGGGGTGGGGTGGCACATCGTTGAAGGCAGGGCTGAGTGGTGGGGGATGTGTGAGGGGAGGCGCAGCGACGATGCGTATGCGCGTGCACCAAGGGATGAGTGCCGCGAGGCATGTCCATGGGCACGTGCGATCCGAAACTGCTGGGCAGGTTGATGGTTTGTTGCCAGCGTGTCACGGTAACCAGACTGGCGAAGTCGGGGGCAATTAGCACACTGGCAGGCTGGATCATAGAGTGGCGGCAGCTGTAGTATGAAAAGAAGCGATGGCAGAAGCAGCAGCAGCAGCAGCAGCAGCAGCGGCAGGGGAAGCAAGACGCAGTGCGAGTAGAAGCAGTGCGAGTAGAAGCAGCACGGCCAGGGGTAGCTAGAGCATGAGCCATAAAGACTGGGAGTGGGTTCTTGTGGTCCTGCGATCTTGCAGCACTGGCAATGGCACCACCAGCACCTACAATACGCTCAATGCAAAGACAGTGGATCCTTTTCTGCTCTAAAAATAGAGTGGAGTGGACGCAGGGTAAGTTTCATGCCCTGGCAAAAGCATGCTTGGTGCAGCAGGATGCGACATTCCTAAGAGTGTTTGGGAGCTCACAGTTGAAAGATATGATCATAGAAAGACAAGCGCATTTGCAGGAAAATATTGCCTGCAAGAGCAGCATCAGCAGCAGCAGCAATAGCAGCGGACCAGAACCTGAATGGGGCATATGCTGGGAAAGTTGCTGCTCATATCAATTTGTCAAACGCCAGCTCAAGAGCCGTAACTGGTGCTGGGGTTGGTGTGGTACTTTCTGGGTGACCAACAGTTGAAATTAGTTTTGTACACCAATCAGTAGACGCGAAGGATCAATTGGAAGTAGAGTTGAGGACATGCACCAGCCAGCAGTCATGACGACGGTAGGTCTCGTGCGTTGGACCAGAATGTATTCTGGCTCTTAATACTGTGTTATAATTTTGTTAAGTCGATGGGAATCTCAGTGGTCGTGTATGACGGTCTTCTTGTTACGATAGCGAGCTTGCGTGCAAGACATTACTTGGGTGACAGGCAAACAACGCCAGGCTGGCTTGATGCTGAGAATTTGTCGCTTCTGTCCATACGGTGGTTGTTTGACAGACTTACGGCCAACGACACTGTGATTGTTTTTGACGGCTGAGATTACTCGAGAGCTTTTTCAACACAGCTAGGCTCACCAGCTCGACCTTTGAGACTGACCTCACCTCGACGACAACCGTCGATTTGCATCTCCATGCCTGCACAAGAGCCAACAGACCGTACCTGATAAATTCACCTCAGGGCTTCCTTACTTCCGACACTGTACGTACGGAGGACAAGCCTCCCCCTCCCTCCCTTCATCACTTTCACTTTCGACCGTTTTAGGAATTTATTCGACCGCGCTAGATCACAAAGTGAGTCCCTTACCTAACTGATCGCAATTACAGCAATGACGGTTCCCTAGAAATCATCGGCCCGATGAAAGCTACCTGCCTTACGTTATCCACCTGAAAACCTGTGTAGGCGTTGTTGTAGGGCGTTCCCAAGTATAGCCGCCATAGAAGTTTCCCCAAGCCAGTGCTGCTGCTTGTTATGTTATTTGCTGCTGTTGCATTATTTCCTCGCAAAATAGAAGATTGGCGTCGACATGGACTTTGGACCTGAAGGGTCGTTAGTGTACCGCAAGTTTCTGTTAGCAAGCCCGGCAAGTGCCACGTCAGCTAGCAGTAATGCCAGTTTAGTCCATCCAGTTTCTCCCTGGCACGACTTACCGCTTCGGTTTGACTCTAACGATGGCACGGTTCCCGCCACGTTATCCGCTGGTGACTGTATCGAGATGGTCTGCACTACGCCTAAAGGCTCGTGGTTACAGTTAGAAGTAGCCGTTTCAGAGCTTTATCAGCCGTTGAGGCTGCGCGAATCGAACGGTGCTCCCGCACACTACCAGGACAATGTACAGTGGAACCTCGGTATTATCCCGCAAACGTGCTCATGCTTTAGCGAGGACGACGAGAATAACGGAAGCGGTCCGGACCCTTCGAAACAACATGGTCCAGTAGAAATAATCGATATAGGATCCGCGCCAGCTGACGTGGGATACGCGTATCGCGTGAAGCCAATGACGGCGTTTCTGGTGATAAGTCCTAATTTAAAGACCACCCTGAAGATAATTGGCATTAATTCTATGGACCCGATCGCTGATAAGTTATCGTGTCTAGACGACTTGCAGAGACACGCTGGTGGGAAGCTTGCGGAGATCAGCGAGTGGCTCAAAACGTCAGCGTGTGTTTCAAGATGTGAGTTGGAATTGCTGGTCGGTTTGCTGGTTCAATCTTATTATTTTTGCTTGTTTTTCGCAACCTCGTCACTATCGCTTGATTATAGCGAGGCAATATCATGGCCCATGATGCGTCATCTTCTGATGTTCACACATTAGATTCTAGACGAAAAAGTTAATGTATTACAGCAGACAAAAAGGCTCTTCTGACGGTACTTTGTTTCTTTCGGGAACGAGACCCAAGATATTGGTTTTTTTAAGGGGGGGTAATGCCATCAAGTCCTATTGCTGGTATCAGCGATTTTTATGAGGAAAAGGGACCTCAGAGAGATATGAGGCGCGCCAGCTCGTGAAGCCATAAAGCCATTAAAGCTCTCAACAATAATCTGAAGGATTGTATTTTTTTGTTTTATTTTTTTCTTTGGTATAATCCGAAAAAAAAATATCGTTGCTAATATCTTCCTTCCCTCTTCTCCTCGTTTTCCCCCCTCCACCCTCTCCCCACTCCCTCCCCCTTTCCCCCTCTCGCCCACCCCGCCTCTTTTCCTTCGTCCCTCCCTTCCCATCCCGCACATTTCGTCTCCTTTCAGACGACGTACCCAACACGATCGGTTACCGCGAAAAGCCCGTCCCCACGGACCGAACGCTCTCCCTCCTTTCCAAAGCGCATGCCGCCTGGCACACCTACCACAGCGCCCACCACAGCCCCCACTCCGCCTCCGTTGCTTCCTCCGCCTCTGCGCCCAACCGCCCGCCCTCCGCCGTGCACGCGAGGGATCTTCGGAAGCTTGTAGAGAGCACCGCGGGCGGGTCGCTGGACGATCCTTCCGCCACTGGCGCATGCGTGCCGTTCTCCAAGCGGGAAGGCGCAGGGGGAGAGGACGCGGGGGGGGCCGGAGGTGCGGTGACGGGGACGGGGGCGGGGGCGGGGGTGGGGACAGGGGCGGGAACTGAGGCGGGTTCAGCGCACCCTGTGGCGGCGAAAGCAGGTCCGGCGGACGATTTGAGGCGGAAGCTTCTCGCGTCAAGCTCAGCGCGAGGTCCGGCAGGCGGAACACCCAGGGATAGGGTAACCGCACACCGGCGAGCTTCGTCTGTGTCATTTTTCGCCCCCGGCGCGTCGGATTTCGGGACGGGCATGGACAGTCCACCTCACGGGTTTCATTCTGCGACGGGGAGCCCTGGCGGTGGGAGCGGCGGGGGTGGCGGGGGTGGTGGGAGTGGTAAGCCCCCCTCTCTAAGCCCTCGCATGCAGCAGCCTCCTTCGTCGCAGTTCGCAGCGTTTCCCGGCAGCAGCGCGGGGGGGGGGGCTAGCCCGGCGGGGCGTAGGGTTAACAGACACGCGCGAGCGCAGAGCGTCAGTTTCAGCCCACATATGGATTTCAGCAGCAGCGGCAGCGGCGGCGGCGGCGGCGGCATTACCGGTAGCACAGGAGGCAGCACTGCTAACGCTTTTGCCCACGGCTCTCCCCCCCACCCTGGCGGAGCAGGGGTGCAGGGGGGAGTCGCCCCGGCGCCCAGCGCAGGGGGGATCAGGGGAGCGGGGCTGGCGCCGCCGGGACTGGTTAAGGGCGGAATGGGCAGGGGGGGGCGGATGGGGCCTTTGGGCGGAGGGGGGCTTGCTGGGGGAAGGGCGGGTCCGGGGAGGGGGATGGGGCGCGGGGGATTTTTCAGGAGCGCGTCTGTGGACGGAGGAAGGGGGGCGGAGGAGGATGGGGGCACGGATGGTCCGCTGGTGAGGCGGAGGAGTGGCGGAGGGGGGAGAGACCCGCCTGTCGTTGTCAAGCGGGTGGGGATGCCCCCCTCTGGCCCTGCGACAGGCGCAGGCGTAGGCGCAGGCGGAGGCGGAGGAGGCGGGGGGGGTGGCGGAAGCGCAGGTGTTAACGGAAAGGAGACGTCAGGTGTGTTAGTGATTGAAATCGGTAGCAAGGGGGGTGAGGGGAGTGAGGAGGGGAAAGAGGCCACCAGTGCGGATCAGGATTCTACATTTACCTTCCCTCAGCTAGGAGGGGCGATTGGTGATCCAGGTATGGAAGGTGCTGCTAACGGAGGTGGTAATAACGAAGAGGAGGAATACACCGCGGATTTGGACAGTAGTGAGGATGACTGTGACGAGGATGACGGGGATATTGTGGAGTGTAAGGCTGCGCCAGGGGCATCTGCTACAGGTCGAATGCCTCTGAATGTTTCTGTTAACGAGGACGACGATAAGGAGGATGAGGACGACTGTGTGGTTCTGGCCTCGCCTCTCGTTTCAGCCCAGCCGCAGCAGCCGCAGCAGCCACAGCAGCAGCAGATGCAAGGGAATGATGCAGCGACAGGGGCAAATTCTCCTAACGGGCTTGCAGCAGCCGCAGGAGCAGCAGGAAACGGTGGTGCGGAGGCAGGAGCAGCAGCAGCAGCAGCAGGGGCAGGTGGTTACAGGAGGCTCAACTGCGATGTAACATCTGGGCAGAATGGCGGGCAGAGCAACGGGGAGGAGGAGGAGGACGTTGATGGAGATGGGGATGGGGACATTCCGCTGGCCTCCCCTCTCGCCAAATACCCCCCTGCCAGTCCCCTAAAGGCGCATGGCCATCACCAGCCGCTACCCAGCCCATTAAGCCGCGGCCCTCTGGCTTCTACATTCAGTGCCAACCCCCCTCGCCCCGGCAGCCCGCTCACACGCGTTCCCCAGCAGCAGCAACAGCAGAGTGAGAGCAGCGGTGGTGGCGGTTTCACGGATTCCTCTGGAACGGTTGTGAGCCAGAGCCTGCCGCGGAGGCTGGTGAAATCAGGTTCGGAGCGGGTGGGTGGGGCTCCGGGGTTGGGAGGAGATGGCAGCTTCAGAAGCAGCAGCAGTGTTGGTGCTGCTGCTGCTGCTGCTGCTGGTGGCAGCGGCCGTGGTTTCAGCAGTGGCGCGGGTAACGAAACCAGCAGCGTCTCGAGCCCAAGGAGGTTTCTAAAGTCAGGTTCAGAGCGAGGCATGGCCGGACCAGGATTTCCGTTGTCGTCCGCCCTTCCTGTAGCCCAGGTTCTCGAAGGCCCTCCGTCAGCTGCTGCTGGGTGTGCAGCAGCAGAGGCACATGTGAGTGTGCCTGAGCAAAGGCTGGGACGGGACATTCGACACACGCGCATGCTCGGAAACGGATCGCTCAAAGAGCAAGGGAGTCGGGGATGGGTGGAGAGCAGTGGAGGGGGAGGAGGAGGGGCTGGTATGGGTGCGGGGGGAGCAGGAGGGCATGGGTCGAGGTTGGGAGGGCCCCCTGGGATACCCAGGCAGTGGAGCGCTGGGGAACCAGGGGGGAGTGCTGGGGGGGTGAGTGGGGGCGGAGGGCCTGGGGGAATGGCAGGCCATGCCCATACGCATGCGCACGCTCATGGGCATGCACATGGGCATGGGCCAGGGGTACCCAGGCAAAGGAGTGTGGGGGAAACAGGGGTAGGGCAACAGCAGGGCGGCGCCGTCGGCACTGCTAGCACCAGTCGCGTGCATTTCCCACCGGAGCGCACGGCTGGGCGAGGGGAGGGGGGTGGTGGGCAGGAGGGCTCGTTTGACCAATGGCAGGTTGAGGAGCCTGTCTCAGGGGGGGATGGACAGGGAGGGGGGGGAATGACGCAAGGACCTGGAGCAGCAATGGCAGCAGCAGGAGGAGGAGGAGGAGGAGGAGGAGGAGGAGGAGGAGGAGGAGGAGGAGGAGGAGGAGGAGGAGGAGGAGGAGGAGGAGGAGGAGGAGGAGGAGGAGGAGGAGGTGTAGCAGGAGGGGGAGGGGCACAGGGAGGGGTGCAGATGCGCATGGGTAGGCCATCGTCCCCTCAGCTGGGGGGTCGACCCACTCCTCCCCCCTGCCATGTGTCCCCGCACAGGGCTCGAAGCTCCCGCCTCAAGGATAGCAGCCCTTCAGGTGGGCTGCCAGCAGGCCACAGCAGTTCAGGTGCTTCTCCAGGTGCTGGTGGAGGAGGTCCGGGCGGCGTAGCTTCAGGTGGTATCAACAGAGCGGAGATTGCGGCCGGCAGGCGGGCGGCATGGAGGAGGAGCAGCAGCATCGGGGCCGGCGAGACTCGGAGCGGAGTGGCTGACATGCCAAGGCCGACTTCGCCGCAGCTGTTTGGAAGCATCAAGGAAACAGCCAGGGAAGGTGCTTCGTTCTCTGCATTCCAGGGTCAGCACCACGTGCAACAACATGGGCAGCAGCAGCAGCTCTCAGCGCAGCAGCAGCAGCAGCAGCAGCAGCAGCAGCATCAGGTGGGCGGCAGAAGCAGCCCGTCCCAGGTGTCACCTTCCAAGTGGAGGCCTCAGCTCGGCACAGTCAATTCTTCGATGCCAGTAGGAATGGCAGGTGGATCTGGGGCAGGCTCATCCAGTGGAGGTGTTACTGCTGGTGGTGCCAGTGGTGGTGTAGGGGAAGGTAGTGCTGGTGGGATTGCTGGGCATCAGCAGCAGCAGCAGCAGGGTGGCGTGGTTCGGCCTAGGACTGGTCATGCTCGTAGGCATTCATTTGCTGTTGGATCTGGGTCGTTTGATTTTGCGTCTCAACCACCAAGCTCGTAAAGGTGAATTGCCCCTTTTCTGGAGGCGGGGGTTATGCGCTCTGGATGTTTTCTTTTATTTGTTTTGCGCTCTATTTTGGTTAGTCGTTTCAATAAACTAGGACTAAGTATGGTCGATGTTTCCATATGGACTAGCCTGTGCTTTCAATCTGTAGTTTGCAACTATGTTCAGCTCAGTTAGCTTCCACGTTGACTATACAGTTGTAGAACAAGAGCACCAACGACTGTCTTGTGACGAGGTCGTTCCACTGTGCAGTCGTGTGCCATCAGGACCGCTCGAGGATATGACAAGGGGCTCCACCTGTGCTGACGTGGCTCACAAAAAGTCGTCTCCACTGCCCGTCTCTCATTGACCGACACTGCATTGGCCGAACGTGGGTGCTCCTCTTGCACCGCGGTTCGTGAACTAGGAGACTATGGCAGGTAATACACGACAAACTTTGATTATGCGAAGCAGCGCCTATAATGACGACAAATGTGTTTCTGAGCAACCGAGTCGCACTGTGCTCTGCCCCATCCAGCACAGCTGGGGAATAAGGCTACTGTACACACTCAATCCCCCCTCCAACCTTCGCAAACACCTCTACAGTACTCACACACCGCACTGTCCTCGACACCACAAACAGGTTCCATTTCAACTTTCAAGGCGAACTGCAGTGCTCCATTCCGGCATTGCGATGTCAGAGCGAGAGGTTTCAGGTTAGGAGGGGAGTGTCCAAGCCAAGCTGGTTCGTGCACCAATGGGTTGACAAAAGAGGAAGGTTATGGTTGGTTTGGGTTTGTCAGTTGAAGCTCAACCTCTCCCTGCAAGCAAGGGCCGTTTTGCTAAGTGTTTATATTTGTTCTCTCTGCACATTACGGGGATTTTCTGTTCCAGTTCCACCAAACCCAGGGCTTTCCGGCTACACCCTCGTTTGAAAGGTATCTGTCAATGGAATTTGTAGGAAAAAAAAAAAACATCCCTTAGTTGGCGGTTGGGATCAAGGTTGTAGGGGAAACCCCCTCTGGTATACCCTGGCTGTCGATCGTAATCGGCCTACCCACTTATTTACACGCCTCGCTGGGTATCGATACCCAGATGAGCAGTACGAAACCCCCTTCTGGGGGGCTGGCAGAACTCGCCGGCACTGGTTGGGGATTTTTTCGGATCGCAGGGTGGTCCAGCACAGAAAAAAAAGGTTGTCTGTCTTCCTTTCTTCCCAACTTGGGAAGTGACTTGGGCTCGGTCAGGACGTGCACGCACGAGCAGTGTGGGTGGGGATAGGGGAAGGTGTTGGAAGTGGTGATGGTGGTGATTCGAGAAAAACCAGTTTCGTGCACGGAATTGACAGCAGCTTTGGGACCTCGGGGATGACTTTTTTATGTTTTGTGAAAGCATCGGATACCTCCAGCGGGATATACCACGACCACTTCTCGAGTTAGACGCGAGCAGTTAGAACTTCTACCATGAATCGTTGTTTAAATCTCTAGGACGCTATTTGCATCCGCTACACTCATGAATCGCCATTTTCTCGCTGACGGATGGTCCGTCGTCGAGTTCGGAACCGTCGGTTCTCCCGCCTATAGATGGCTCTTCTTCGATCCTTCCGCGCGGCCGTTTTCCCCGTGGCACGATTTCCCCTTACACTCCAAGCACGGCTTCTATCATGTCCTCTGCCTCACGCCGCGCGGCTCCGCCGCGCGCATCGAGGTTTCCGCGGATGAGGATTTCGACCCGCTTCGTCCCGTGGCTTGCGCCGCCGGCGGTGGCGACTGCGGCGGGGCAGGCGGAAAGCTCGCGACGGCACAATTCGCGACGGAGACGCCGTGGAACCTTGGGATTGCGCCGGAGACGTGGCAGGATCCCGAGTCGCCAGGCTACAGCAGCGGCGACGGCGGAGGTAGAGGCGGAAGCGGAAGCGGAAGGGAGTCTTGGGGAACGGAGATTCCGCCGAGCGGGACTCCCGTGGAGGTGATTGAAATCGGCGCGCAGCAGGGGGAGACGGGACAGCTGTACGCGGTAAAGCCGCTCGGCGCGATTGCCGTAGTAGCCGAGTCCTGCGACGGGTTCGCGACGTCGGCGACGTCGCACGAGCGTGGGCCGTCGCCGCGTGGGTCCAGCGTCGAATCACCTGGGCGACGTCGCGTGATGTCGTGGGCAATTTTGGCGATATCGCTTGCCGACCCGCGGTCGCACGTACTGAATGACGTAGAAGATCTCGCGTGGGAGATGCCGGGAGAATTGGAGCGAATCAAACGGTGGATAAAAACGTGCTGCGGTGTACATGCTTCAAGAAATGGTGGGAAAAACAAATCTGTGACTTCGAGCGAAGGCGAAGCTGGTTACCAGCGGCGATGGTTGGCGTTTGACGAACGGGCATGGGGTCGCGAACGCGCGATCGAGGAGCTGACGATCGCGCACCAATCGTGGCAAATCATGCACGACGAGCTTCCAGCCCCCGCGCCGTTCCTGCACGTCGATTTGCCGAACCTGGGAGTCTCGGTATCTCCGGACGCGGTTGGGAAGAACCTCGATAGAGACGGTTTCACGAACGGTGTACAGTGCACGGGGATGTACAGTGACGAATTTTTCAAAATGCCAGATGATGGTAGTGAAAATGGAAGCAGCAGTAGCAGCAGCAAGAGCGGAGCTTTGCCAACACCTGAGGCTCTTGAGCGACTGTGGACTCCGGTATTTGAAAAATATAATGACGGTGGATTTTTTGGTACTCGCCATGGTGATTTTCATTGTAGTGGTGATGCGAAAGTTGGGAAAGTGTTGGTGGAAGGCAGGAATGCCACTATAGCGAGGATGGATGGTCGCATGCAACGTGCAGCTTCTGGGAGCAGTGTGAGCCACAGCAGCAGCGGCAGCGGCAGCGGCAGCGGCAGCGGCACTAGCGCTGACGTCAGAGGCATGGGCAAGAGCAGCAGCCACAGCAGCCGCAGCTACAGCCGCAGCAGCAGCAACAGCAGCACAACCAATGAGTTATCGTGTGATTCACACAGCAACATAAGTGGTAAGGCATCTGGTAACACACACGCAAGTCGTAACACAGCAAGCAACATGAAGGATGGGAAAAAGGACGGCAGCAGGAAGAAGGATGGCGGTGGCATTGCGGCTAGCATACGCCGACTGCTGCCGCCCACCCCAACCTTCCACGCCCATGTGACTATATGGGGGGATTCGGGCAGGGCCCACGCGGAAACCTGTCATGGCTCGTCTCATGGTAAGCCGATACAGTCACCGAGTCTTCGAGCTTTACAGTCACACTCGTTACAGTCTCACTCGTTACAGTCACATTCTTTACAGTCACGTGGCGCCAAGACGCCGGGTGGACGGCTGGAGAGTGGAGGGTGGAGGGATGAGGAGGAAGAGGAGGAAAGGGATGAGGAAGAGGAGGGGGAGAGTGAGGAGGAGGAGCAAGAGATTTCTCCACCCATTCTGGTAGTTCCTCCTTTGAATGCTGCAAGAAGGGGCTTGGGAGGAGACAGCAAAAAGCTGACTGGTGCTCCTCCTGCTGCTGCCGCACCTGCTGCTGCTGCTGCCCCTGCGGCTGCTGCTACTGCTGCTGCTGCTGCTCCGTCTCCTGTTGCTCCCGCTGCTGGGGATGGCGGAGGCAAGGAGAGAGGGGCGAGGATGAGGGGGAGGCATGAGAGGGGCCGAACGAGGGACTTTCTCTTCCCTATAGACGTCCCCGTTACCGCACAGAGTGGGGGGCCGTTGGCTGGGGTGGCAGAGGGTGGTGGGATTGATCCCCCTGCAGCAGCAGCAGCAGACATGGCCGCAGGAGCAGGTGCAGCTGCAGGCGTAGTCATAGAAGCACGAGCAGGAGAGGGGACGGAGGCAGGGGCAGGAGAGGGAGCAGAAGCAGCAGCAGCACCACCACCACCACCACCACCAACACCAGCAGCAGCAGCACCACCACCAACACCAGCAGCAGCAGCAGCAGCAGCAGCAGGTGGGGTTCTCCCATCCCCCAGGACGCACATCCAGGTGCCCACGCGTGCTTATATGCGGAGGGCGCACCGCAGGAAGAGCCTAGAAGGCATCTCCCAGGTGCCCTCTGTGCCGGAGTGTGACAATAACGAAGGGCGCGGGGCGGAGGGCGCGGGCAGGGGGGGAAGTAGGGTCTGGGGGAGCAGGGGGAGCAGGGGCAGCTGGGGGAGCAAAGGGAGTTTTAGGGAGATTGAGGAGGAGGGTGATTGTAGTGAAGGGAAGACAGGGGGGGAAGAGCACAGGGAAGAGCAAGGGAAAGGTGGGAACAGAGAAGATGTTGGGGTGGAGGCTGGGAGAGGGGAAGAGAAAGAGTTGGGTGGGGAGGGAGGGAATAGTGCGGAGGTTAGGGAAGAGGAGGGAGGGAGTAGCGTTACTGGTGAGAGCATGAGTAACAATGGCACTCCTTGTGTTGTAGATGGGAGCACGGGCGAAAGGGTAAGTCAGCACACGAGTACGGAAAGTCGTGGGAGCACAAGCAGCATTTCTGGAAGCAGCATGGGCGGGGGGGTGGATGGAGATATTACTGGTGGTGAAAAGACAAGGAGGGGTTTTATTAGGGCACGCAGGAACAGCCGGAGCAGCTTCAGCAGGGCTACTCGCGAGAGCACGGGTGGTGTTGCAGATGGTAGCGTGGGCGCGGGGTTGGATCAGGGCATGAGGAGGAGTTTCAGTGGGAGCAGCCTGAATAGCCATAGCGGCCCGAGCGGTCCGAGCGGCCAAGGCAACGGCCAGAGCGACAGCCTGAACAGCCAAGGCAACGGCCAGAGCGACAGCCTGAACAGCCAAGGCAACGGCCAGAGCGACAGCCTGAACAGCCAAGGCAACGGCCAGAGCGACAGCCTGAACAGCCAAGGCAACGGCCAGAGCGACAGCCTGAACAGCCAGAGCGGATGGAGCGGGGGGGCCAGTGGACGGAGCGGGCCGAGCAGGATAGCTCGCCGAAGCATGGCTCGTGCTTTGTCTAGGAGAAGAGGGTCGGCGTGTGAGTCTGTGCAGAGTGACTATACGGAAGACGCTTTTGAGGGTCCTCGAAAGTCTGTTGAGTGTGACTATACGCGAGATGCTGATGTGGCAGGTCGTTCTGAGCGTGGGAAGTCTGGCGAGTGTGACTATGTGAGTATTTCGGATCTGGGGTCGTTGAAAGGAGGGGAGTTGGGGGAGTGTGATTATGTGAGTATTTCGGATTTGGGTGGTTCGGAGCGTGGGGGTTCTATTGCGGAGTGTGACTTTATTGAGTTGGGTGGCTCGAAACGCGAGGGGTTGACGTGTGACTCTATTGAAGGGGAGCAGACGGGGGTGGAGGTGATTGTAAGAGGAACAGGAGGAGCGAGAGAGGAGGAGGATAGGGGGAGTGAGGGAGAGGTGAACGAAGGATTAGTAGGGGTGGAAAGGGAGGAGGATGGGGGGAGTGAGGGAGGGGAGAAGGAAGTAAAAAGAATGGAAAAGGAGGAGAATGGGGGGAGTGAGCCAGGGGTGAAGGAGGGAGCAACGGAGGTGAACGCTAGTGGGGGAGGAAATGTGAGAGGAATGAAGGAGGAGGATGGAGGGAAGGAGATCAGAGAGGAGAAAGAAGAGGAAGTGGGGGTGGGGTTGGGGATGGGAGTAATGGGAGGGGTGAAGGAGGGAGCGGCGGTGGGAGAGGAAGCAAGGAAAGTAGCGATGATTGCTTTTGAGGTGCCTCAGAAGATGAAAGAGGGAGCAGTGGTGGGAGAGGAATTAAAGGAGGCAAGGCAAGGAGCGATGAATGCATGTGGGGGACGTATTGGAAGAGAAGACGAAAAGGAGGATGGGGGGAAGGATATGAAAGTGGTGGCAGAGGGTGAGGAGAGTGATGAGGAGGAGGAGAGTGAAGTGGAGGAGGCGAGTGAAGAGGAGGAGGGGAGTGAAGAGGAGGAGGAGAGTGAGGAGGAAGGTGAGAGTGAGGAAGAATGGAGTGAGGAAGGGGAGGAAAGTGAGGAAGAACGGGAGGAGCAGGAGGAGAGTGAAGAGGAAGAGGAGAAAGAGGGTGTCAATGAAAGTCTTAAGGATAGAGCTGCAGAGTATGTGCAAGGGAATGTGGGAGGAGGAAAAGATGGAGAGAGGAGTGAAACTGAGAAGGAGGGAAGAAAGGAGGAAAGTGAGGAGGAGAGTGAGGAGGAGAGTGAGGAGGCTCGGAAGCTTCTGGAGGAAATAAGGTTTGCGGTGAGGAGGAAGATGCACAGGGAAGGGAAGCTTCCTCTGAACCTTGCTTCTGCTGCCGTCGCTGGTACTTCTGCTGCTGCTGCTAATGCTGCTACTGCTACTGCTGTTACTGATACTGCTGTTACTGATACTGCTGTTACTGATACTGCTGTTACTGATACTGCTGTTACTGATACTGCTGCTACTACTACCGCTGCTACTGCCTCTGCTGCCACTACTGCCACTGCTGCCACTGCTGTTACTGATACTGCTGTTACTGATACTGCTGTTACTGATACTGCTGTTACTGATACTGCTGTTACTGATACTGCTGCTACTACCACTACTACTTCTGGCAATGCTTGCAGTTATGGTGCTACAGCTGCTGCTGATGATCATGCTACAGACCCAACAGGGGCTCCTCCCCTCTCTCCTCTCCACCCCCTTCCCTCTCCTGCTCGTTCCCCCCTTCCTCCTCATCCCCTCTTCGCTGTTCCTTCTCCTCCCCGTTCTCCTCTCCCTCCTCGTCCTTCTCCTCCCCTCTCTCCTCTCCCTCCTCTTCCCACTCCTGCCCGTTCTCCCCTTCCCCCTGCCGTGGCTCCTGCTGCTAAAATGCCACAAGCGCTGCTAACCAGGCCCAGAAGCACGTCAAGTCTAGCCAGTGCAGCTAGCGAAGACGCTTATAATGGGTACAGTATGGCCGCTTCTGGCGAGGCCGCTTATAAGGGTGCTGCTTATGGTACGTCCGCTGCTGGTGAGGGGTTGTGGTGGGGAAGAAAAGCAGCATCAGGGGAGGCAGCAGCAGCAGCAGCAGCAGCAGGAGCAACAGCAGCAGCGGGAGCATTTGCAACAGCAGCAGCATCAGTAGCAGCAGGAGCAGCAGCAGCAGTAACAGCAGGAGCAGCAGCAGCAGCAGTAGCAGCAGGAGCAGTTGCAGTGGCTGCTGGCGGTGTGTTTGAATCAAACCATTCAGCATCAGCATCAGCATTATCATCAGCAGCTGCTGCTGCTGTTGTTTCTGGATTGAACCAGAATAAGGCAGCAGTGGGGGCTGCAGCAGCAGCAGTTGAAACTGGGGGTGGTGATGGTGGTGATGGTGGTGATGGTGGTGATGGTGGTGATGCAGGGAAAAGGGATGGAGTAGCAGGAGCAGGAGGCGCAGCAGCAGTGGAAATGAGTGAGGAGGAGAGGGAGAAGGAGAGAGTGAGGGAGAGGGGGAGGGAGCTGGCAGAACGGGCGCGGAAGCAGCGGCAGCAATTTGTGGAACGAGTGGAAAAGCGAAAGCAGATGGCTCGGTTGGGGGGGGTGAAGCAGGGGATGGGTGTGGGAGCAGGGAGTGGCGGGGAGGGAAGTGGAGGGAGTGGGGGAAGTGGGGTGGGAGGAGAGGAAGCAGCTGCTGCTACAGCCTCTGCTGCTAACGGCGTGTCTGCTGCTGGTGCCACGAGTGTTGCTGGTGCTGTTGCTGCCGGTTCGGTGGAGAGCGGTGCAAGCAGGTGCGGCGCGGTATCAGGGGCTGTGGAGCAGTCAGGTGCAGTTGATGCTGCTGCTGCTGCTGGTACTGGTGCTGCTGCTGGTGGTGTTTGGAAAGACGAGTCAACGCGGCAAGCCGAACTGCTAGCAAACAAAGGTAAATACCTCCTAAGGTCAATCACAATGTTACGAGAGGCACGGGCAGAAGAAGCAGAAGCAGCAGCAGCCGAAGCCGAAAAAATCCGCGCACAGACCGCAGCAGCTGCAGCCACAGGGAGAATGAGCAGCAAGCAGCACCGGAAGCAGCACCAGCAGCACCAGCAGCACCGGCAGCAGCGACGGTGTGTGCGTCGCCGCGGGCTGCATCAGAGGAGTATGAGTGAGGACCTTGTATCGCAGCTGCTTCTAACGGATTTTTCCCAGCTTGTTGATCTCTCTGCTGGCACATCCACACTCTCTCCCTCGCACTCTCCCTCCCTCTCCCCCTCTCACTCCCCTCCTCTCTCTACCTCCACCAATTCAACGGGGGGAAGTGGTGGGTTCGGGGGGAGTGGGAGGATCGGGGGGAGTGGAGGGTTGGGTGGGAGCGGGAGGCAGGGGAGTGGGAGGATTGGGGGAAGTGGAGGGCTGGGGGGCAGCGGTAGGTTGGGAGGAAGTGCGAGGCTGGGGGGGAGTGGGGGGGGCGGGGGCTTATGTAGACTCATACACGAGTCTGAAGTCTCCTAAGGCGGAGGGGAGGGGAAGGGCAGTGGGGGGTAAAGTGACGGCTGCTGCCCTGCTGGCTGTGACACCACGAGGAGAGGGAGGGGCTGGGTGGAGAGGAGGGTGGGGAAGCGGAGGAGGAGGAAGTGGGGGAGGAGGAGGAGGAGGAAGTGGGGAAGCAGAAAAGAGGGCGAGGAGAGGAGGAGGGGGGTGGCGGTTAGGGTTCCGGGATGAGGAGACGAGGAATGAATATGGGTTGCGTGATTTTGATGTGCAATGGACACAGAATGGGTATGGGGTGTCTAGGAGTGAGTGTGGGGGCCCAGTAGCAACAGCAGCTGAAGCAGAAGCAGAAGCAGAAGCAGTATTTCGTCGATCGAAAACGATTGCCACTGATGGGGTGAGCTCATGGAAAGAACCTCTCTCCCCTGCTGCAGGTACCAAGTGTGCTGCTGATGGCAAGAAAGGGAGGAAGGGCAGTGAGGGTCATGGGTTTACTGGAGAGGAATGGGGGGATGAAGTGGAGGGGGAAGGGGAAAGGAAGGAGGAGGAGGAGGAGGAGGAGGAGGAGGAGGAGGAGGAGGAGGAGGAGGAGGAGGAGGAGGAGGAGGAGGAGGAGGAGGAGGAGGAGGAGGAGGAGGAGGAGGAGGAGGAGGAGGAGGAGGAGGTGCCGTTGGTGCAGCTGCTACGGTCAAGGACTATTGGGTCGGGATATGCATACAGAGTGCTCGATTTGGACGAGAGTGGTTGTGATGCTGGTGATGCTGCTGGTGATGCTGCTGGTGATGCTGGTGATGCTGGTGGTGATGTTGCTGGTGCTAATGGTGCAGCATATCTTGATGGTGGTGGTGATGCTGATGGTGATGCTGGTGGTGGTGCCGCTGCTGATGGTGCTGATGGTGGTGATGGTGGTGATGTATCAAATGAGAGCGAGCACGAGGCAGGCAGCAGCAGGCACGACGGAGCAACGAAACTGGCTAAAAGGCAGGCTAAAAGAAGGAAGGAGACGAAGCAGCAGGCTAAAAGAAGGAAGGAGACGAATGGCAGGAAGGAGAGCGAGGGTGAGGGGGACAGTGTTGAGGGGAACAAGGTTAAAGAGGTTGGAAAGAAGGGGAGCAAGTCCGGTAAGAAGAAGAAGGAGAAGGAGAAGGAGAAAGCAGGATGGAAGGAAGGCGAGGGAGCAGAAGTGAATGGGCCACACATGCTCAATCCACGAAATGAGAGTGAGGGAGTGAGCGACGGAGTGGGTGAGGGGGTGAGTGGGGAGAGTTTACGGCAGCAGGCAAAGGAAGGTGGGGTGAAAGAGAAGAAGAAGCAGAAGAAGGAAGGGAGCACGACCAAGGCCAAAAAGGGTGAAAAATCTGAGGAGGTGGGAGAGACAAAAAAGGGTGATGAGGCAAAGAAGCGTGAGGAGGTTGGGGAGGAGAAGGAGCCGGGACTTACAGGCCCAACTGTTCAGCTGCAGCGGCTTCTCTTGCAGGCAGAAAACAGCAGTGAGGGTGCCGTGTTAGCCGGTCCTGTAGGGTTGGATGCAGGGAAGCGTTGGGGCGGCGGTAGGGCTTTAAGGGTGGCGATTCCTTTGGATACTTCCAATGATGAAGAGGACGAGGAAGAGGAGGACGGGGAGGAAGAGGAGGAGGGAGCGGGAGAGGGGGAGAGGGAGAGGCGTAATTATATCGGGCGTGCGCTGTTGCAACGTAGTGCTATGTCCGCGCGTGACTATATGGGGCGCTCATCATTTAAACTAGCAGCATCTTCAGCAGCGGGCGGAGCACGGCCGACGCCGGCCCTGACACCAGGCCCAGCAGCCAATAGGAAGCTGCCACGTGGCATGTCCCCCAAGCCAATCATGACGCCGGAAGCCCTGGCTGCTTACTATGAGAAATCTGGAACCACGGCCAGTCAGATAACCCCTCGCATGGGAGCAGGGCTTGGGTCAAAGACCGGGAGAGGGATTGGGAGCAGGAGTGGCTGGGGCACAACTTTTAAAAGCACCACTCCTAAAAGCACCACTCCTCAAATCACAACCCCTAAGAGCACCATCCCAAAAACCACCACTCCAAGAAGCAACTCCCCAATTACCCCCACATTTCTCTCGTCCTACAATACCCCCACTCACCTCCTCCCCTTTTTGGCCGCCAGCCTGGGTTGCTCCTTGGAAGTAGAATACCAGCAGCAGCAGCAGCAGCAGCAGCAGCACCAGCAGCAGGGAGGCTCAACAACCACAGCAGCAGCAGGCAGAGGCTAAGACCAGTGTCGAAGGTGGTGTGCATGATGAGGGATATGAGGATGGGTGCTTGGATGCTCGGGACACAGACGAAGCTAACCACTCGAAGCTTTGGTTAATCCATCATTTGTTGAGTAACTCGCAGAAGCAGGACAGTGTGAGCAGTGTGGATTTGCCGTAAGGTGTAGATGACTAAGGAGATTTTGTTCGGATAGGTATTCCTCCTACCGTAAGTTTTGGTGAGGATGCACTTGTAAGGTAAATTTCGTAGTACTATGTGTACATTTTCTTGTTAAGGACTGTACATTTTTATCTGGTGTATTTTGTACATGCATCTCTTGCATTGGTTAAGTGCTCGGTTTGTGGAGATCACCTTTCACTGAAAACCTTTTCTCATTTCCGCATATTTTTCTGAAACATGTCTCTTACGTTGGGCTAACTCGTAAGTCCACTCAGCACTTGCGCGAAGATGGTTGTATATGGAGGACAGCAGGCAGTTGACGTTGTGCATATTTTGTGGCAGGACGAAAAAAAATATCACGGACTTCTGAATTTCGTCCCTGAGAACTTTGATTCTGCCCGCAGTCACCTGATGCTGGCTGTGTCGGTAAACCCCTGAAATCCTCTCTTCTTCCTTCAAACCGCGTCACAATGTCGTGAGCGGCTCGTCGAATTGACGAAAGCAACGCGGTTTTCAGACATTTCCCCTGCCCACAACATTTGCAAAAGTAAAGGAACGAACTGCGGCGCGAGCTGTGCCATTTCTGCTGCTGCTCTCTCCACCCCCAATTCACACCAAGCCTAATGGAGTAGTAGACATCACGCCTAATTCACACTCCTGCTTCCGTTTTTGCTCTCAAATTTCATTAGCTGCGAATCCCGTTAACTCCACTCTCTCATGCCGTGTCACAGGCACCGCCGCTTCAGTTGCGCCTTCCCCCGCCCTCGCCGCTTGTCCCTCCTGTCCCGTTAGTGACGCTTTTCTTGACGAGTCATTGGACAGTTGCTCCTTTCCAGGTGCTTCTCACGATGGGCTTTTGGGAGTTATAAAGCCGGGAGGTACTTAGGATTCAACCCAAAAGCTTGTTAGCAGGAAGCCTCGTTCACGTCTCCGGCGTATCTTCAAGATATCTTTGTTTTCCAGCGCACGGCGCTACTAATTAGTGAATATAAAGCGCCTCGGCACGGTCCTAGAAGGCGTTGGATCTATCTTGTGGGCAAATTATCTCGGAATCGCATCCTCCCGTGCCGCATTTTTCCGAATCGTTTTTTTAGGTCTGCTCCAGCCTCGAAGCTGGCGCCGCCTCAGCCGCGCTCATGCTTCCCCGCAATCGCGCGCATCGCGCCGTCGGGGGGGCGCCCCCCGCTTTGGCGGCCCCCGCGTGGCGGAAGCGGCGGAGGGTGCTCGGCGGGGATGCGGAATTCGGTTCCCCTGTGGGCGGTAACGATCGAGTCTTGTAGCGAGGACGAGGACTCCTCAGATGACTCTAACGCGTACGACTCGGATTCGGACAATAGCGAGTCGTATTCGGATCTAGGCTCCCCCGAATCCGAGCAAATGATAGTCCAAAATTTGGCGGCGCGAGAAGCGATCAGCGCAAAAGGCGCGCCGCAAGCAGGGAGCAGCAGCAGCAGTGGCAGCGGCGGCGGCAGCAGTACCGACAGGGGCGCTGAGCAGCGCGTCGCGATTGGAACCGCGGAAGGCGCAGACTCGGCGCGGGGAGCCGCGCGAGGCGTGGCTACGGTGACGGCGCGAGTCGACAGCGACGGATCCGGGTTTGCGCCGGCCGGGGCCGCGACGGGACATTCGGCGGGACATGCGCCGGGACATGCGGTCGCGAGGGTTTCTATCAATGGTGACTGTGCACCAAGCGAGGCAGGAGCCGCTGAGCGCGTAAAGGGAGGCAGCGGCGTCGCCGGCCGCGCCGCTATTGCCAGCAAATTAACATCTCACGCGCGTTCCGTGTCCGTGAGTGACGCCGATGCGTCGGGCGCGGGTCACGACAAGACGCACCAGTGGCTCATGTCGCGATACCTCGACTCCGCCCAGCCTTCCGCGGATCCCTTTCTCCGCCGCTCGACCTTCCGCCTCGATCTTCCGCTCACCACCGCCGCGGCGCCTATTTCCCCCGCGTCGCCTTCCCCTCGCGCCGCCGCCTATTCCGCCTCTGGTTCCCCTCTCCCCTGTTCCGCAGACCGCTTCCATTATTCCCCCTCCGCTAGCTATTACTCCGCCTCCCCCGCCCCCTACGCGCATCCGGCCGCGCATCTCCACTGCTACTCCGCCTCCCGTTCCGCCTGGGCGCAGCCCGCCGTCATTCCCCAGAGCCAGAGCGCGACCGCGAAGGGGAACCCGTACGCGTTTCTGCACGCCAGCCCGTTTCGTTACAGTCACGACTGCTACGACAGCGACGAGGAGAAAAACGGCTACGCTGGCGACGACGGCGGAGACAGTAACGATGGTGATGATGGTGATGCTGATGTCGATGAAAACGGTGGTGACAGTAGCAGTAGTGGCGGCGGCGGCAGAGCAGTTAATGGTGGGAGAGTAGGTGGGAGAATCGATGGAGAACGCTCAAAATCGGCACTAAGCAGCAGCAGCAGCAGCATCAGCATCAGCAGCAGCCGGCAAAATCCTATCAGCCCAGAAAAGGGTGCATGGGCCACCATGGGAGGGAGTGGAACAAACGAACCCATGAACACAGCGAGTGATGACGCCACGTCAGTGATCACGTCTGCTCCAGGCCCGGGAGAAGCTGCCACGTGGCAATCTGGGAGGGGTGGCTGTGAGCGCATGGGTGAAGTGAGTCGAGAATATGTGGATTTGCAAGGCGCAAGCAGCACAGGTAGCAACAGCCCTGCCAGAAACGCCAGTGTGAACGACCGAAGCAGCAGAGGCAGCAGAAGCAGCAGGCTTGGTGTGGGAGGCAGCAACAACAACAATGACATGAGCAGTGGCAGTAGTGGTGGTGGGAGCAGCAGTGGCAACACCAACCACAGCAGCAGGAATAGCAGGGGCATAGACCCACCTGCTGCTGCTAGTGCTGCAGTCAATGCTAGGCAGGTCACTCACAACACTACTGTGGATTGGGGTGCTCCTGTGACGTTACTACCCTACCCTGGCAATAAGGCTGGTATTCTCATGGAGCCCTGTGACACAAACGAGGCAGCTTATATCGAGAACCAGAGGCCGCAGCTGCTACACACCAGCTGTGAGCGCCCACCACAGCCATGCGAACACCCATGCGAACCACTACACAACAGCGCTGCACCGGATCCCACCACTCTGCACCCACTGCTAGGCTCGGAAATCGTTCTGGACTCATCCAAAACGGTCCAGTGGTTCGGGGACTGGGACGACGGGCGCACCTGGAAAGAAAATCGCTCAAGAACCCACAGGTGGAAACCGGAAGATACCCTCGCCGTCCCAGGGTTACCAGGAAGAATACCCATGGGGAAAATGGTGGAATACGTGTGGCTGCTTCTCCTCCTAGCCATGGCGGTTACTGCTGCTGGACTAGTGCTCTTCTCTCTGCTGTTCTGGGCTCCTATGGTCACTGAGGGACCTACGACTGCTAAAGGAACCAGCAGGACTGTGTGGCTGGCGGTTATGGGTGTGCTGGGAGGGAGAGGCGTGGTGCTGGGTTCTTACTGCTTCGTGCTCTGGCTGCTCTTGGTACGTTCATGCTGCTGTCATTGCTATGGCCCTTCATTGCTCCGTAACTTAGTATCTCCCTCACCACTCACATCGCCTCCTATTACCTCTGGCCCCCACTTTTCTCCCCACCCTCCCCACTCTCTTCCCCCATCCCCTCTCCCTCCCCCCATCACAGCAGGGGAAAGAGTGCAAGCAAGCAGCATGCCATGCTTCCGCAGACCTCTCAACAGCATCCCTCCTAACAGCCCTCTACCTCTTCTCTCCCTCCCCCTCCCTCACCACCCCCATCGCATCCTACCTCCTCGCGCGCTCCCTCTGCGAGCTCCTCACCCTCCATCCATCTCTCCCTCCGCCCTTCCCCCACCTTTTTCCCTGGCTGTCTCCCTTCCTTCCCCCATTCCCCCCTCTTCTTTTCCCCCATCACAGCAGGGGAAAGAGTGCAAGCAAGCAGCATGCTACGCTTCTGCAGACCTCTCAACCGCCTCCCTCCTAGCAGCCCTCTACCTCTTCTCCCCCTCCACCTCCCTCACCACCCCCATCGCATCCTACCTCCTCGCGCGCTCCCTCTGCGAGCTCCTCACTCTCCTAAGCACCTGGAACTGCAAAGGCCGTGAATGGTGGACGTCTCTACTAGCCGTCTGGCCGCCTCTACTCCTCGGAATCAGCTTGTTTTTCTCCCAGCCGACGGGGGAGACCTGGTATATTGTAGTGGTTACCGGGGCGTGCTGTATGGTGGACGGGGTGCCGCTGTGGGTGGCGTGTGTGGTGCTGAGAGTGCGGCTTGTGGGCGGTCGGGGGAGTCTGCCGCAGCATGCGAGGGGGTGTGTGAGGAAGGCTGCTGCTGTTGCGACGTTCGTGCATGGATTGATGAGGCTGCTACCACTTGCGCTTTACTTTGTGGCAAAATACGCCTTGTAGTAAAACCTGCTCTTTTGGTCAGCTCAGCGCTGCACAGTCATACAGCATGTCATGTCACGCATGCAAGGGGGTGTGTGTGTATGTGTCAAATATTATAGCCTGTAGTGGGTTGGGCTATATGGGGTACAACTAGTTAGGGTTAGGTTATGTACCCCAATTCTGTCAATACAACGCATTCCGCTATAGTTCTCATTCTGACATGGTATCAGCAGTAGGTTAGCGCTCCTAGTCCTAGGCCCGCCCTTCCTTACCACTAGGGTTACCACTGCGCCCTACCAGCCCGCCAGCGCCCTACCCCACGCCCCAGCCGGCGCGCCCCTCCCCTCCCCGCCCTTAGCCAGCGCGCCCGCCAGCGAGCCAGCGCGCCAGCAGCCTGCGCGCCAGCCAGCCAACCAGCGCACCAGCCAGCCAGCGCGCCAGCAGCCAGCGCGCCAGCCAGCCAGCGCGCCAGCCAGCCAGCCAGCGCGCCAGCAGCCAGCGCGCCAGCCAGCCAGCGCGCCAGCCAGCCAGCGCGCCAACAGCCAGCGCGCCAGCCAGCCAGCGCGCCAGCCCGCCAGCCCGCCAGCGCGCCCGCCAGCGAGCTCGCCAGCGCGCCCGCCAGAACGCACGCCAGCGCGCCCGCTAGCGCGCCCGCCAGCGCGCCACGCCAGCGGGCCCCGCCAGCGCACGCCAGCGCGCCGCGCCTGCCAGCGCGCGCCTTGCTTAGCCGCCCGCCAGCGCGCCGCGCCCCGCGCGCCACGCCAGCCAGCGCGCTGCGCCGGAGCGCGCCCCGCCGCCCCGCGCCCAGCCAGTGCGCGCCCCGCCTGCGCGCACCCGCCTCGCACGCACCTCCATGATCCACGCCCGCGCGCCCCATTTTCTGTGGCCCTACGCGGCTCGGTACGCCGCTCACCAGCTGAACCTCTGGCCTCGCGTCTCTCGGCCAGGGGCTTCACCGACCAGTCTTTGGACAGGGTCCCCTGGTGTTGCGTCGAGGTTTAGTGTCTGGGGCTGCTTGGCGCTTGTCCGCGACACCTCTGCGGACAAGCTCTCACCTCGCGGCGTCCCCTGTGTATTCCTTGGTTTCCCTGAGGCCTCCTCTGACTTCACCATTTACCACCCTCCCTCCCACCGGTTATTTGACTCTCGTGACGTCAGTTTCGACGAGTCCGTCCCCTACTACGTCCGGTACCCCTGTCGAGGTCTCCCGGTTCCCCCCCCTCCCCTCTTCCTCGCCCCAGCTCCTCCTCCTCCCGCTCCCTCTCCTCCGGTACCCCCCCCGGTTCCCGCTCCGTCAGGTGTGTCGCAGGCTACCCCCCCTCCCTCGGTCCCCCCCCAGGTCTCTCCTCCTTCCCCACAGTCGTCCTCATAGCCTCCGCAGCAGCCGTCGGCGCTTCCTCTCCCGGCCACTGCGGACTCTGAGGGTGTTGGTGCTCGAGGTGAGGGCTCTGGCGGTGCCGGTTCTGGGGGTGTTGGAGTTGGAGCTGAGCGTGCACCTGCCGCAGCTGCACGTCCCGAGCGTGTTGGAGTCGGTGGTGGTGCTCGAGCTGGTGGTGTTTCTGGAGCTGGAGAGTCTGGGGCTGGTGCTGGTGCCACTGGCGGCGCCACGAATGGGGGCGCGGGTACACCTCCTACAGGTACTGGTCGTACTGCCGCAGGGGGTCCTCGCTCTGGGGGTGCTCAGCCGGGTCCTGTCGAGGGTGGAGCCGGTTCTTCTTCGTTGTCTCCTGACACCACTCCTCCTCCTCACCCCTACCCGACTCGTTACCAGGCCCTTCGTCTTCTAGAGCGTGAGGAGCAGCAGCGTTTGGAGCCTGAGAGGTCGGAGGTTCAGCAGCGGGTGGAGCGTGAGCGGTTGGAGTTTCAGCAGCAGCAGCAGCAGCAGCAGCAGCCGCAGCCACAACCACAGCAGCAGCAGCAGCAGCAGCAGCAGCCGCCGCAGCTGTCGGAGCAGCCTCCGGCCCCTGTTTCTGGCCTTCAGGCCCTTGGTCTCCCCTCCTCTCCTCCTGTGTTCGGTCCCACGTTTCCTCCTCCGGACTCCACTCCGGCTGTCTTCCCTCGTTCTCAGTCTCCTCCGTCCCCCCCTCCTCTCGCCCACACTTGGGCCTCTCGCCCTCCTCGTGCTCGTCCCTCGTCCCCTGTCACTGACCTCCGTACCGTGCTGTTTCGTCCTCGTCCTCCTCGTGCTCCTCCGTCTGTCCTTCCTCGTCCTCCTGAGTCTTCCCTCACTGCCTCCCTGTCCACTCCGGTCACTGACTACTACCGCACGTACCGCCCCACTCTCTCTCGTGTTCTCGCCTCTCTTGTTACAAACCCTCGTGCCTCTCCTTCCTCCGTCGCGGTTCTCACTGCCGCTGTCACTGACTTTACTGCTACGCGTCGCCTTGACTACGCCACTCGAGTTGTGGCAGCTCCTCCTGTCCGTCCTCTGTCCGCCGGGGGTGTGTGTGCCCTTGGCTGTGACGTCCTAGAGGACAGACAGTTTGAGCTAGAGTTCCTGGCAGCTGCTTCGCCTCATCTCTATGCCATGCTGCTCACTCCTGAGGGAGACCCCGACGCTCCTGACATACCTACTCCTCGCACTTACGCTGAGGCAGTGTCAGGGCCTTGGGCCTCTCAGTGGAGAGCTGCCATGGACGCAGAGATGGCCTCCTACAGGTCCACAGGCACTTACGTTGACGAGGTTCCCCCCCCAGGGGCGAACATTGTTGACGGCATGTGGATCTTCAAGGTGAAGCGGCCGCCGGGATCTCCCCCAGTCTTCAAGGCACGCTACGTGGCTAGAGGGTTCAGTCAGCGCGAGGGGGTTGACTTCTTTCAGACCTTCGCGCCCACCCCGAAGATGACCACTCTTCGGGTGTTACTGCACGTAGCAGCGCAGAGAGACTACGAGCTACACTCTCTTGACTTCTCCACTGCCTTCCTCCAGGGCTGCTTACACGAGGAGATCTGGCTGCGTCGTCCTCCGGGCTTCACTGGCACTTTCCCGCCTGGGACCCAGTGGAGCCTCAGACGACCGGTCTACAGTCTCCGCCAGGCACCCCGTGAGTGGCACGACACTCTCCGCTCTACTCTCTCCGACCTCGGGTTTGAGCCGTCTTCCGCCGACCCGTCGCTGTTTGTTCGTCGTGGCCGTACACCTTTCTTCGTCCTAGTCTACGTTGACGACTTGGTTTTTGCCACGGCCGACACAGCTGCATTGGCGGAGGTGAAGTCCGAACTGCAGAAGAGACACACCTGCAATGACCTTGGGGAACTGCGCCGCTACCTTGGCCTGCAGATCTCCAGGGACAGATCCGCTCGCACCATCACTCTCACTCGGTCACACATGGTGCAGCAGGTTCTTCAGCGGTTCGGGCTTCAGGACTCTTCTCTTGCCCCCACTCCTCTTGCTGTAGACCACAGACTCACTGGGCCTTTTCCTGACGAGCCGTTCGAGCCCAGTGGTCCCTACGCAGAGCTGGTGGGCTGCCTCATGTACCTGATGACGTGCACTCGCCCGGACCTCGCCTTCCCCCTTAGCATCCTGTCTCGCTTTGTTGCGACTGGGAGACACCGTCCTGTTCACTGGGCGGCGGCTAAGAGGGTGGCAAAGTACCTTGGCGCGACATCAGGCATGGGGCTTGTACTTGGAGGGACACAGCCAGTTGTACTCACCGGTCACTGTGACTCTTCCTACGCTGACGATGTTGAGACTCAAAGGTCTACGCAGGGTTACTGTTTCAACCTGGATTCTGGAGTTGTTTCGTGGAGGTCTACTCGGTCCTCCTCTGTTGCGACTTCTACCGCAGAGGTCGAGATCTACGCTGGGGCCGTTGCTGCTCAGGAGCTACGCTGGTTGACCTTTTTGCTCACTGACCTTGGTGAGCGGCCGAGCTCTGCACCGACCCTGTTTGCCGACAACAGGGCGATGATTCTCCTGTGTCGTGAGCCTCCACTGGAGAGCAGAGTGAAGCACATCGACGTCAGGTACTTCCTCCTTCGAGAGTTGCAGAGACGCGGACAGGCTCGTCTGGACTTTGTGGCCTCCGAGGCCAACACTGCAGACATCTTCACCAAGGCCCTCCAGCCTTGTGACCACCGTCGGTTTTGTCTGCAGTTAGGCCTCGTTGAGACTGGGTCTAGTTGACTGTTGTAGGGTGCTATTTGTCTGTTGCTTGCTTGTACCTTATATATATATATTTGTTTGCACACTTTTGGACTGGCCTTGTGGCCCTTTGCTTGTGCTCAGATTAGGTGGTGACGTTGTGATCCACCCTGAGCTTTGTTTTCTTTCTCTTGTTTTTGACTGGTCTTGTGACCGTAGGTTGCTTGTTGTTGATTGGCCTTCCCCACTTAGGCTATGGGGGTGTGTCAAATATTATAGCCTGTAGTGGGTTGGGCTATATGGGGTACAACTAGTTAGGGTTAGGTTATGTACCCCAATTCTGTCAATACAACGCATTCCGCTGTAGTTCTCATTCTGACAGTATGCAGTGATTCGCCTGGTGCCACAGACAATGTGGTAAAATGCGGTGCCTTAGAGGAAAAAGGCTTGTGTTGTGTACCATCTATATCAATATCAGTTTTGAAAAAAAATAAAAAGGAAATCAACAAGGGCACTGGCAAGCAGGGCATGGGACAGGAGACATGTACTAAAAACAACTGCCCCTCCAAATTAAACAAGGGGGAAAAAAGGGGAAAAAAAGGGAGATAAGATAAAAAAAAGAAGCATGCGCTGCTCAACAGCACGAAGATGACCCAACATGACACATTAGGCCGAGTCCAAGACGAGGAGGATGATACGGTAAACATAAAAGGAGTGTCAATAACCAAATGCACTCCTCCGCACCACAGGTATCACGGTATCACACTGTCATTTGCGCCATTGTCTGACGTACGGTACTGTCAGAAATCAGATCATTGGGCTTCAGACTGTCAGAATCGCCATCAAGCTACAAGGCATAAAGCATCTCTCCACAGCTCTGCACCACCTCTCTCTGCATCACCTCTCACTGCATGGCAGATATATCACTCCTGAGCCTCCAACCCTGGCCCTTCAAACCTGCCCCTCCAACCCTGGCCCTTCAAACCTGCCCCTCCAACCCTGGCCCTTCAAACCTGCCCCTCCAACCCTGGCCCTTCAAACCTGCCCCTCCAACCCTGGCCCTCCAAACGTGCCCCTCCAACCCTGCCCCGCCAACCCTGCCCCTCCAAACCTGGCCCCTCCAAACCTGCCCCCCCCAACCCTGCCTCCCCAACCCTGGCCCTCCATCCCTGGCCCTCCATCCCTGGCCCTCCATCCCTGGCCCTCCATACCACTCGCTCACGTGAACGCTCTACTTACTCATGAGTGGGTAACTTCCTACTCACTCACTACCATCCCCTCACTCACCCCCTTCCCACCTCTCCCCCTCCCCACATCTCCCCCTCCCCTCACATAAAGCTCCTCAGAAATCCCACCTCCTTAACGCCCCCTAGTTCTCCCCCTTCCCTCGCCTTCCCTCACATATTCCTGCACCTCCACATACCCACTAAAGCTCACCCTCCTCGGACTTCATTCCACTCCAGTAAGAACCTTGGATATCCGGAAGTTCACCTTCCCCTACCGCCCTCGTGTTCTCCGCTTCCCCTTCCTATCGCCCTCTCGTTCTCCCCCGCCCCTCGCTATCCCTCACAAATTCCTGCACTTCCACATACCCACTAAAGCTCACCCTCCTCGGACTATTCTGCGCCTGGGGGTGCAGCACCCTCCCTCCCTTCCCCTCCTTCCCCTCATTCCCCGCCTTCCCTTCGCTCCCCTCTTTCTCCCCACTGCTCCCCCCGCCTCCCCCTTTCGCTACCAGCGGCGACGCATGGCGGAAAATAGGGCTAACACTAGAGCTCCTTCCCACGGTATTCCCAAGGTTTACCCCGGTATTCCCAAGGCCGATGTCGATGCTGGGGCTCTTGAGGGCGCTGCGGAGGGGCATGGGGACTCCGTCTATAAGCACAACCTGTGCGCGGGACGGGCTGGGGCACGGGCTCGTTAGAATCACGGCTCCCCCCCTGCCACTCGCCCTCACAGGACTCTTGCCGGTGCTGGCGATGCCGCTGCTGCTGCTGGTGCTGCTGGCGCTGCTGCTGCTGGCGCTGCTGCTTCCGCTGCTGCTGGTGCAGTTGGCGCTGGTGCTGTTGGCGGTTGTGGTGGTGGTGCTACTGCTGCTGAATTTGCTTCTCCCGAAGTCAAAATCCACGCTGTAGGTTCTCCTGCTCGCCACCTGCTGCCTCTGCTTCAAATGCTGCTGCTGCTGTGAGAGACACTGGCCGTTGTAACCCACCTGTTGCTCCTTGCAGCTATCTCCTGCTGGCGCAGGTGCTACTGGGGGAGGCGAGGAACGGGGAGGGCTAGGAGCAAGTGGGGGAGGTGATACTCTGGGAGCGCTGGCAGATGGGAGCTTGGTTATAAGGCTGGGAGGAGAAAGCATGTCTGATGGATTTATATTGGAGCCTGAAATTCCAACTTTTGATTTACCTGTTACACTTGTAACACCACTCGTGAAATTCTTCGCCGTTGCGCCCAACCGAGCTGCTGCGTTCGCGAGCGTCGATGTCGAGCCTGCAGCTTCGGTCTGGCCGGGCCGCGAGCGTTCGGCTGGGCTGTTCGGTGCGGAACCGAGGGTGAACCGCGCGGGAGGTTGGGCGGAGTTGGTTGTTCGCGTGGGTAGGCTTTGCGAAAGCGTTCCCCCCGCTCGACCAATCGCAGCGCTTGCTACTGCGACGGCCGCAGCACTGTTAGGCGAAAGCTCAGGCGAAGTAGCATCAGGCCCTTTTGCACCCCCCCGGACGCGTGGCTGCTGCGAAATCAAATTCCCTCCAGTTACATCTGCACGACCTTCGCCACTAGTTCCCTCCAACCTTCCCCCAGCCGTCCCCACAGGGCTGCGCGCGGGCCATGCGCCTGCGCCTGGTGAACCCTGCCCCCTAGCGCTTCCGATACGCACGCCGCCATTCGCCGCAGCCAATCCGGCACGCGCGGAATTTGAAGCTGCGTCGCCCTGCGGCATGCTGGACATGCTGTTGCGGCGCCGCGTAGGAACCGCGAGAGGCGAGGGGGCCGCGCGGCGGTAGTTCCCCACATGCTCGCGACTGCTGCCTTGCAAGTGCTGCTGCTGCTGCTGCTGCTGCTGCCGCTGCTGCTGCTGCTGCTGCTGCTGTTGCTGCTGCTGCTGCTGCCCCACATGATGCTGCTTTGCCTGCGCCCCCTGCCCCTCCTGTCCCAGGGGATGCGCAAGCACGGGAAGCGCAAGCGCGGGTTCTGCGCTCATGCTCCGCGGCACTGGCTTCAGCATCGGCGTTGGCTTCCCCGCGCGATTCGCAGTTGCGCAGGTACTCTCCGCATATGCGCCACCATCCTCCACCGTAGCTTCGCGTGCCGCAGAAGAAGGCGCCGTTGTTGATTGCACGATGCGCGCACGGGGAGAAGAGCGTGCGACCGCTGGCACGGACGCGGATGCGGACGCGGAGCGACTGGTTCCCCCTGCGGCGGCGGCGGCGTTAACGGGCGCTGCTGCACCTGGCGCCTTCCCCGCGACAGAAGGCGAGCTCGGCGGACGCACTGGGCGCGCAGACGGGGAAGGCACACGCGGGGACAACTGCGCGGCGCTTATGGCGCGGCGGTGGGTTGGGCGGGGAACTACGGCATTGCCGGCGCGGCCAAGCGGGGAGAGCGGGGGCGCACCAGCAGAATATGGGAAAGCGGCAGGGGGGAGGCTCCGCGAGCCAGGCATTGGTCCCGCGGGTAGCGGAGAGGCGGCGGAAGGGGAGGGAATGGCTACGGGGAAGCGCGGGGATGGACTGGCGGAAGAGGGCGACTTGCTGCTGTCCAACGGTTGTAACCTCAGCTTGCTCGCGCCACTGCCGCCGCCGCCGCCGCTGCTGCCGCCACCGCTGGCGCCGCCGCTACTGGCGCCGAAGCTGGCACGGCCGGCAGTTCCGCCCGTTTTCGGGCTGCTGATTCCCGCCCAATCCACAAAGCCCATCCGCGGCGCGAGCTGCACTACAGACGGTCCCGTGCGCGATCCGCCGACATCTGCGCCAGCCACCGCTTCACCGCGAGAGACACCCATACTAGCGGCCAATGCGGCGGCTGACTGAGAGCCCGCAGAGCGGGAGCGACGGGATAACGCCGGATGCAATTTTTTCTTGGCGTTAGCGTTACGGTTAGCGTTATCGTTACCGACAATGTCTGAGGCCTCGGCGCTTGAAACGTCGCCGATGGAGGCAAATCGCGGAAAGACAGCGCCTGAGCTGGGGTATAGGTCATCGACGGAGGCATCCGAGTCGCTCTTGCGGCGCGGGTCGCGCGGGCTACCATCGGTATCGCCGCAATCTGGGTACAGATCGGGGAAACGGCGAGCTGCGGAAGAGGGCGCTGCGGAGGGCGCTGGCGGCGCCGCCGCAGGATCCGGTTCCGAGCGGGCGGCGAGAGGTGGAGGGCGCTGCGTTTTGGGGGAAGCCGCGAAGCTTATCGGGCTGCGGCTGCGGGTGGTTGCTTGCGGAGAGAGCGGAGTGTCGAAGTCACCCACTCGCTCTGAGGTGGTTCGGCTGCGAGTGAACTCCCGCCGCGACCCCGCCGCGCCACTCCCTGCGCCACTCCCCGTGCCACTCGCGGCACTCGTGCCATTACGCTCGGTGAGAGCGCGGGTGAGTTTGACCTTCCCGTCGTTTGCGGCGCCGGAAGGGGCAGAGCCAGTTGGCGGAGAGGTAATCGCATCTTTAGCGCGTCCTTCCGCTCCGCCATGCGCGACGACTTGCGCGCCGACTTGCGCGCCTTGCGCGAGCGACAAGGGGAAGTGGAACTCGAGCCCGCTGCTCTGAATGCAGCTGACGGAGCGCGTCCGGTTGTGCGACCGAGCCGTCGTCCTGCTCTTGCCGGCGCAGGCGGCAACGGTTGTACCGAGGGCCGCCGGCCGGGAGATCTGAGACGGCGTCACGATTCGAGGTGCCTCGGTGTTCGTCCTGCTCCTGCCGGCAGTGCCGAGGGACGGCGGCGCGGCCCCAGGCCCTGCGGCGCCAACGACCACGTGCGACACATCCGCAGCCGACGCAGAGTCGCAACGTCGCACGAGAGCTCGACTCCTCTTCGGTTTCGAGTCATCAGCATTGTTGCTGCACGGCGCATTAGTAGCCGCGGGGCGGTGGGCGTTAGGGTTACTACAGTTCGGCTGCGTCACAAGAGCTGCGGACGGGGAGAGAACATTAGGAGATCCGACGGCTGTGGGTGACCAGATATTGCCGATCATGCCGCTCTCCATGGCGCAGACGTAAGCGTGAAGGGCGGCGGGATTTAGGGACGTGATGAAAGCGTTGCCTCTTGCGCCAACGCCCTCTGTCCCTGTCGCCATTGATTTGCTCCCAGACTCGTCCTCCTCATGTAATGTGTGTTACTTGTACTTTCACTTGAACCAGTGTACTGTTATATCAGTAGCAGGGGGCGTCGCCCTAAACAGACAGCGTACAGTAAGGGTGCGGTGACTCGAAACGATGTACACCCTGTTTCTCGACCCTCTCACCTTGCGCGATTCGCTGCTACAGTGCGGTCAGGTGCCATAAACCGTATGGCTGAAACCTGCGGGCAAAGCCGCACCAGCTGACGGAGTGGTACTGGGGGCAAAATTTTTCTTTATCGCTGTATACCCTTTTCAACCGCTTTGAAACGCTTGGTTAATGTTCTTTACCATGCAGCATCCTAGCTAACCGCTTTCTTGTGAATGTGCTTGTACCGTCGGTGATAAGACCATTTCAAACGTGGTGACGTTCTACAACCAGTGCATGTTCTGCAACCAGATGCTCTGCTAGCGCGAAACAGGGTGTACAGTTCGGCCAGACGAAAAGAGAGTGGTGCAACAACCACCAGAAAGCACAAATGTGGGAGAGCAAGGGGTGAGGCCAGGGATGGTTATGGACGAGGAGAAAGGGAAGAAATAGCAGGTGCGTAAACTGCAGTCGAGGATGTGGCCAGAGCGTTGGAGGACCACACGAATGGCTGTTGCTGACTATGGCCGAAACGATGGTGGCCAGGTGGAACCCTGGTCAGACCAGACAATACACTTTGAAGTTTTGTACTTGACAACGAAAACCCTCGTTGACATTCGGATCCCAAACTTATCAGACGCAACGCCACTTGTTCAGAACAGCCGAGCCAAATGACAAAGCACGACGGTTTGAGAGTTGTTAGTGCATGAAAGCGGGTCAGCAAATTTATGAATAAACGAGTCCAGCAAATCTCTGGCTCCAGCAATGCCAAAACAGGTTTCTGGTTTCGCAAACGAGTTTATGTGCCAGAAATGTGCCACATTCCTGGTTCCAGCCATGCCAAAACAAGCTGGATACAGAACAAAATAAAAAATTCGGACGAACAACGCTACAACTGTACTGATCTTCTGACGAATCGACGGACTGCCAATGCTGCTTGCCACGTGGACTACATTGAAGGCAGCTTCTGGTTGGGTCGACGTTCGCTGAGTCAATGCCCACAAGCTAGCTGACTGGGAAGCAAGAAGCCGGGGTGGTCCTAAATTTGCTGAGCCGACTGCCAAGTAGTTGGGCTTGTGGTTGTTTGGTTCAGTAAGGAGGGGAGGGCAGGGCAGGCCTCACTTTTTTCATTTTTAGGCACTCTCTTGTTTCAGGTTTCACCCCACCCGCCACCCTGCCCGGAAGGGCCAGGTGGTTTCCAGGAAAGCTGATTTGAAGGGTCGTATTTTCACTCGGTTGCGGTCACGGAAAGGTAAGGACGCGGTACATAATGCTCCGTTCTTACACTATCGGTGATCGATTGGATCAGATCGGAATCGATGGGGTTTGATTGCCCCAATCTGACGCAATCATCGATCGCATCCCGAGCCGCGCGATCTGACGCATGTTTTTCCACGAAACAAAACAGAGCCTCAGCCGCGCCTTCCAGGCGAGCTGTATGTTCCTTCCACCTCAAAGTTGGCGAAACTAAGCGACGATCTCTATCGTGCAATTACTGGGTAGCCCTATACTAGTTCGATTGTCGAGGGATGTTTTGTATCAGCGAGCAAAAGCGAAACTTCACGACATAAGTTACAACTCGCGTAAATTCGCCAACATACCCAATCTATCGATTGCAATCGGTAGCAATCGATTGCATCAGATCGAGGCAATCGAACGCGATCGGTTACAATATCGATTGCGATCGACAGATTGCCCTCGATTGCCCAAAAGTACCCCATGGACCTTCACGCAATTTGTGGATTGCGAGATCGAGGCAATCAACCTCAGATCGCCCCGATCTGAACCAAGTCCTAGAATATATTGTAGGTTAGGGGATTTCTTGCAACAGTTTCATGTAAACAAATATTCGCAGAGGTATTGACTGTTTCTGCTCTGAACGATGATAGGAGACTGTTTTTTTCGATGCTGGACTCTGGCGAGGTGCCTCGTTTGGGTGCGCTCACAGGTCAGGTCGCAAAACCAAACACACGGATGCAGCCGCATTACCTACAGAATCTCGGAAAGTAGCAGAGTTTTCCGAATTAGAGCTCTAAATTTAGAGACACGCGGGTAGACAAATATTGGAAAAGAGAGACATCGGGAGATCGTTTGTACGGACGGAGAGACCCTGTCGAAGAAAGATTCGGAATCTTGTACATTTGGACTGAACAGCTCAAATGTGATCTCGAGGTTGTTGCAAACTACTGTACTGAACTGTAGTTCAAGCATTTTTTCCACCCAGACCACTTCGCTATGACGCTCGCGACAAGCTTTCGCATTACATCTAACTCGGTCTAAGTGCGAGCGATAGTGTCGAATCTGTTCCGAAATGAAGCGCGAAGCTTTCGAACCTTGAAATGTGTTACTTTGAGTGCCCGAGCTATTTTTTATACTTCCCGCCAAGAGGCACGAGTTTGAAAATGGGAGTTCTTATTACAGCATTGACGATAGTTAGGTCGTATCCGTAGGGATGAAATGTCAAGGTGTGGGTGGTGTCTCAATTTGGCATTTTGACACTCAACGAACATTGATGGCAGGGTGTCAAGAACCTGCAGGTTGTCAGCCAATACAAATCGTCGGACACTTTTGAAATTGGCACATTCAAGCCTACAAACGAGAGAAGTTTGTCACAGGAGACTAACTCACGAGAATATGCTGCCCAATCGGCACACAATCTTTTTTTTTTTTATCGTTCGCTGCCTAGCGGATCCACTCATGACAAATTCTCAAACCAATGAAATTGCGTCGCTGATGGTCGTACATGCGCTTCGATCTGACACTTAAGCTACAAAGCTTGACACTCTAATTCGAATGCGCTTTGGGTTGACATGCTCTCACTTGACATGTCAACCCTACGGACTCGAACTTAGATTTCAAAGTTCGATCTGTACAATTTTGAGGACAAAAGCACACGCCCTGACACTCCTTGTACGCGTCCAAACTACGACATGTAGAAAACTTCCTAATCAGTTACAACTGGATGGATGCTGTTATGAGTTGTAAAAGAGAGTGTGCAGGTAAACGAATAACGAAGCTGTGACTGAATCAACTGCGAATACAATGAATGCCCAAACTAATATAGAATTACGCTAGCTAGGAGAGAACCTCGGATGAGCGAGGTTGGGTGCAGGTTTGGCGATGAGAAAGCCGAAGGCGACGCGAGGAGCCTCGGCAGCGTTGAAATCGGCCGAACGGGCGAACTCCGAAAATCGGGTTGTACGCGAAGCAGTCAACCCCGATAAGGAATTCGGGAAAATTCCTTACACCCCCCCCCCCCCCCCCCCCCCCCCCTCAAGAAAGGTAGTCAATAGCCGAGACACGACGACGCGCCAAATAATCACCAACAAGCGTCGAGGCGTCCAGTGAATCGGAAGACACCCACGTGTCGTCCTCACTGGTGCGGTCAGTCCAGCGAATAAAAAAATCTACGTGGCGACCATCGGCATCAAGGCGGACCCGATGAGCGAGGATTTTAGACGGGTCAAGGGTTAGTTTCGGGACGGGGCGAGCTGTCGGGGCCGCTTGCTGACGTGCAATGTCGGTCGTGGCAGGCACGAACTTCCGAAAAAGGTTGACGTGGAATGCGTCGTGGATATGCCAGTCGTCGGGGAGCAACAGCTTCGCTGTGACAGGTGTCACCATCTTGAGAATTTTAAACGGTCCGCAAAAACGTGGTCGAAGTTTCGTAGGGCCGGGCAGATTCAGGTTCTTCGTGTCGAGAAGGACTAGTTGCCCCGCTGTCAATATGAGTTCCCGTCATAGAAGGTTGGTATATTTGCGGGAAGTAATATTCGCCTTGCGAATTGCATCGGCGGCTTATTCTCGGACTTTCTGAAGTTCCGTCACGAAAGTTTGGGAACGGGGAACCGGGTTGGTGAGTGTAGTTGTCGTGGGAACAGCCGGGTCCATCCCGTAATTGAGGAAAAACGATGAGTGATTAGTCATGCTGGATGGTGCGTTGTTGAAAGCGAATTCAAGCATGGCGAGCGAGTCTTCCCAGCGGGCAGGGTCGGGGCAGTTTGTTCGTATTAACTGCTCCATGGTCTGATTGGTCCGCTCGGTTTGACCGTCGGTCTTCGGGTGGTAGGCCGATGAGAACTGTAGCTTCGTGCCGTATTGGGCCCACGTTTCCTTCCAGAATTTGGACGTGAATTTGGGGTCGCGGTCGCTGATGATCGCCGAAGGGATGCCGTGCAGTCGCACGACTGTCGAGATGAAAAGTCGCGCAGTTTCTTCGGCTGTGATTGTTGTGCGGCATGGTGCGAAGTGCGCCATTTCGTGAAGCGGTCGACGACGACGAGAATAGCGTCGTTGCCCGTCGGCCCAGCTGGCATCCCCGTGACAAAATCCATTGTCACTTGTTGCCACGGTCGTTCGGGTGGCTCAAGGGGTTGTAGTAGTCCAGCTGGTCCCTGACGTGTCGACTTCATTGCTTGGCACACCCTGCATGAGGACACATAGCGCTGCACGTCGTTAGAGGAATCAGGCCAGTAATAGTGACGGTGCAGTATTTTCTGGGTTTGATCAACCCCGAAATGTCCGGAGAGGTTGGAATCGTGTATCTCCTGGATGAGAAGCTCACGCAGCAGTCGGTAAGCGGGAACCCAAATCCGGTCGGTTCCGGCTTTTAGGTAATAGTCCCCTTTCTGCGTCGTAGCCTGCTGATGATTTCCTGTGGTGAAGAAGGGGTCTGTCGTGTAGCCGTGGGTGAATAGTCCGGTAAGTAGCGGGTTCGAGTGGGTGATGAGTACTGCAGCGGATTGTACTGTCGGTTGGGTTAGGGCGTCGGCGATGTTAT